TCCACTCACATGGACTGTGAAAACAAATATGGGGTTTCCATCCTCATATCACTTATAATAGACTTCAAGCCAAAGTTAATCAAAAGGGATAAGGACATTTCATACTGTTTAAGGAACCATACATCAACAAGACTTAACAATTATAAATATATATGCTCCAAATAATGGAGCATCTGCGTTCATCAAACAAACTCTTCTCAAGTTTAAGAGTCAAATATATCATAACACAATAATTCTGGGTGACTTTAATACACCTCTTTCACCACTGGATAGATCTTCCAAACAACAGCTGAACAAAGTAATTATAGAACTCAATAACTATCAATAACTTAGACTTAACAGACATATATAGAATATTTCATCCAATGAGTGAATACACTTCTCAGCAGCACATGGATCGTTCTCTAAAATATACCATATACTATGCCACAAAGCAACTCTTAGCAAATATAGAAAAGTAGAGATACTACCCTGCATTCTGTCAGATCATAATGGAATGAAATTAGAAATCAACGATAAAATAAATAAAATCCACTCCAAAACCTGGACACTAAATAATATGCTACTGAATGAACAATGGGTTGCAGAAGACGTTAAGGAGGAGATTAAAGAATTTTTAGAGGTGAGTGAGAACACAGATACAATGTATCGAAATCTCTGGGACACTATGAAAGCAGTTCTAAGAGGAAAGTTCATTGCCTAGAGTTCATTCCTTAGAAGGAAAAAAAGTCAACAAATAAATGACTTAACATTACATCTCAAAGCCCTAGAAAAAGAACAAATCAATACCAAAAGCAGCAGAAGACAGGAAATAATTAAAATCAGAGCTGAAATCAATGAAATTGAAACAAAAATAATTGAAAAAATTGACAAAACAAAAAGTTGATTCTTTGAAAAAATAAACAAAATTGATAAACCGTTAGCCATGCTAATGAAGAGAAGGAGAGAGAAAACTTAATTACTAACATCCATGATGAAAAAGGAAGTATCACGATGGATACTACAGAAGTACAGAAGATAATTAGAAATTATTTTGAAAATTTGTACTCCAATAAAATAGAAAACATCAAAAGCATTGAAAAATTTCTAGAGTCATATGATTTGCCCAAACTGAATCAGGATGATATACACAAGTTAAACAGATCAATTTCAAGCAATGAAATAGGAAGATTCCATCAGAAGCCTAAGCTCAGGACCAAGATAGATGGATATACAGTGAGTTCTGTAGACCTTCAAAGAAGAACTAATACCAATATTCCTCAAATTGTTTCATGAAATATAAAAAAGGAACACTTTCAAACTCATTCTATGAGGCCAATATCACCCTGATTCCAAAACCAGACAAAGACACATCAAAGCAAGAAAACTTCAGACCAATATCTCTAATGATCTTAGATGCAAAAACTCTCAATAAAATTCTGACAAATTGAATACAGAAACACAAAAACGATAGTGCACCATGAACAAGTGGGGTTCATCCTAGGGATGCAAGGTTGGATCAACATATGGAAATCAATAAATGTAATTCATCACATCAATAGACTTAAAGATAAGAATCATATGATTATCTCTATAGATGTAGAAAAGGCATTCAACAAAATACAGCACCCCTTCATGTTTAAAACACTAGAAAAACTAGTGATAACAGGAACATACCTCAACATTGTAAAAGCTATTGGTGCTAAGCCCCAATATCAATCTAAATGGAGAAAAATTGAAAGTATTCCCTCTAAAAACTGGAACAAGACAGGGATGCCATCTTTCACAACTTCTAGTAACCTAGTTCTTGAAACTCTAGCCAGAGCAATTAGATGAAAGAAATTAAAGGGTTACTGATAGGAAAAGAAGAACTCAAACTATCACTATGTGCCGATGACATGATTCTATTCTTAGAGGATCAAAAAAAAAAAAAATCCACCAGAAAACTTCTAGAACTAATAAATGAATTTAGCAAAGTAGCAGGATATAAAATCAACACCCATAAATCAAAGGCATTGCTGTACATCAGTGACAAATCCTCTGAAAGAGAAACTAGGAAAACTACCCCCATTTATAATAGCCTCAAAAAAAAAAAAAAGGAAGAAATACTTGGGAATCAACTTAATGAGACAGGTGAAAGACCTCTACAATGAAAACTATAGAATGCTAAAGAAAGAAATTAAAGAAGACCTTAGAAGATGGAAAGATCACCCTTGTTCTTGAATTGGCAGAATTAATATTGTCAAAATGATCATACTACCAAAAACACTATACAAATTTAATGCAATTCCAATCAAAATCCTAATGACATTCCTCATAGAAATAGAAAAAGCATCATGAAATTCATCTGGAAAAATAAGAGACCCAGAATAGCCAAAGCAATCCTTAGTAAGAAGAGTAAAGCAGGTAGCATTGCTATACCACACCTTAAACTATACTACAGAGCAAAAGTAACAAAATCAGCTTGGTATTGGCACCAAAATAGACTTGTAGACTGATGGTACAGGATAGAGGACACTAGAGACAAACCCACATAAATACAGTTATCTCATATTAGACAAAGGCACCAAAAACATATATTGGGAAAAAAAAAAAAGATAGCCTCTTCAACAAATGGTTCTGGGAAAACTGGAAATCCATATGCATCAAAATGAAATTAAGCCCCTATCTCTCACCATGCACAAAACTCAAAGTGGATCAAGGACCTAGGAATTAAATCAGAGACTCTGTTCCTAATAGAAGAAAAAGTGGGCCCAAATCTCCATCATGTCGGATTAGGCCCCTTAATAAGACTTCTATAGCTTCCTTAATAAGACTTCCTTAATAAGACTCCTATAGCTCAAGAAGTAAAATCAAGAATCAATAAATGGGATGGATTCAAACTAAAAAGCTTCTTCTCAGCAAAAGAAACAATCAGTGAGGTAAATAGAGAGCCTACAGAATGGGAGCAAATTTTTACCACACTCACATCAGAGCACTAATCTCTAGGATATATAAAGAACTCAAAAATCTTTTTTTTAAATATTTCTTTTAGTTGTACACAATGCCTTTATTTTTACTTATCTATTTTTATGTGGTGCTAAGAATCGAACCCAGGGCCTTGCATGCACCAGGCGAGTGTTCTACCCCTGAGCCACAACCCCAGCCCCAGAACTCAAAAATCTTAACACCAAAAAAAAAAAAAAAAAAAAAAAACCCAAATAACCCAATCAATAAATTGGCCAAGGAACTAGACAGACAGTCCTTAGAAGATGATATACAATACACTTATTGAATAACAAAGGCAAGGATTTGGGGGAAAAAGGCACACTCATACATTGTTGGTGGGACTGCAAATTGGTGCAACCAATCTGGAAAGCGGTGTGGAGATTACTTGGAAAACTTGGAATGGAACCACCATTTGAACCAGCTATCCCATTCCTCAGTTTATACCCAAAGGACTTAAAAACAGCATACTATGGTGATGCAGCCACATCAATATTTATAGCAGCACAGTTCACAATAGCTAATTGTAGAACCAACCTAGATGTGCTTCAATAGATGAATGGATAAAGAAACTGTGGTATATGTACACAATGAAATATTACTCAGCTTTTTCTATTTCTATGAAATTAAAAGAGAATAAAATCATGGCATTTGCAGGTAAATGGATGGAATTGGGGAATATCATGCTAAGTGAAGTAAGCCAATCCCAAAAACCCAAAGGCAGAATGTTTTCTCTGATATGTGGAAAGATGCTGATCCAGAATGGTGGGGAGGAAGCATGGGAAGAATGGAGGAACTTTAAATAGAGCAAAAGGGAGAAAGGGGAAGGGAGGTGGCAGGGAGTAGGAAAGATAGTGAAGTGAGATAGGCACCATTACACTAACTATATGTATGAAGACACAAATGGTGTGACTCTACTTTGTGTACAACATATATTGGAAAAAAATATAAAAACAGAGACATGAAAAATTGTGCTTTTGAAATGCATTCTGGTGTCATGTATAATAAATTAGAATCAATAAATAAATTTTTAAAACTTGGAATTAGTTGACCTTTTATGGTATTAACGTCTGCATCTTAATTTGTATGTTTACATAAAGGAAAGTCTCTAATTTGAACTAATTATGAGAAAAGTAAGCCTATGTCTCTAAAGAAAGTCTGAATTGTTAATAGACATAAATATTGTTTTTCTCAAGCTGGGCTAATAAATATTAACAGACTTGTTCTGTTGTACATATTTATTTGTAATTACTATATTGAAATGTCACACTAAATGATAACTCAGCTCTTACAAATTATAGACTTTTGTGTAACAAACCAACAAAACAGAAAACCCTGAAAATTTGTATATGGTTCTCCCTAAAGAATGCACATTGCCCGTACACACAGGTGCATTGATTTGCAGCCTTCTGCAACCAACCATTTTGTACCCCAACCTGAAATCCTCACTTGCTTGACTGGGTTAGAAAACAATTGTAAAAATAAAATTAAGAGGAGGGGAGGGGAGGGGAGGGGAAAGAAAGAGTAAGTAACAACAACAAACAAAAAAAAAAAGAAGAAGAAGAAGAAGAAGAAGAAGAAGAAGAAAGAAAAAGAAAACTATTGTAACAACATTGCCCTGTAGAAGAGCCCTACTGAAGTAAAAGGCAGGATAAAACTCCAGGGTCCTATCAGTTTGTTAAATTTCAGAGCAGAAGAGACCTGGAGGATCATTTACTTCCAAACCCCACTTTTTTTGTTTTGTTGTGATGCTGGGGATCGAACCCAGGGCCTCACGCATGCTAGGCTAGTGCTCTACCAGTCCCCAAGTCTTTTTTATGGTGAGGGTTGTTGGGCCCAGAAAATGAGTAATTATGAACTAGGATATAAGACATGCTGCATATGTCCCAAAAGGGACATAATTTTTTCCAGTTTTGATTACCTCTTACTCTTGACAATGATAGATGGAATCCTCCAAAGAAACAACTGTGGTGAGCGGTGGGTAACAAAGGAATTGCTAGGACAGGCTTCACTGTGATTGTGTTGTCTTCCTTTAGGACCTAAAGATTGACCAGAAAACCCCTCTACGGGTCCTTCACCGAAGACCCTTGGCTTTGAGAACTCGTGTCATCCACTCTATGGAGACACACTATGTGGATGAACATCATTTCCGCCTTTATCTGAAGACTCAAGCTGGAACGTATCCTTTTACCTGTGTATTGCAATAATCTAGTCAAAACCCCACGAGAGTTTATGCTGCCCTAGAAAATAGGTTTAGCTTGGTCTGGGAGGCATTAGGGAAAGTATTACATTGGGAAGAAATTCATTATTTTTTTGTTTGAGGGGTTTTTCCCCCATTAAATTTATTTCTCAAGAGGATATTTTAAACTATGAGGTAGCAGTCCAATGTTAGTTTTATATTTCAGTTAATTACAGTGTATTACATAGTGGTTAGCACATGGTAAATAGTTGGAAAATACTTTTGATTGATTCATTTGCTGTCTGTACATATTTTTCAAGTAATGTATTCATGACCATTTTGGGGTCTTTTTAGCATTTCAAGCATTTGTCCCAGATGATTAAACATAGTGGTAGTGCTACTTTACTTTTTTTTTTTTTAAGAGACAGAATCTCACTCACTATGTTTCCCAGGCATGTCTTGAACTCCTGGACTCAAGCAATCCTTCTGCCTTAGACTCCCTTCAAAGTGCTCGGACAACAGGCATGTGCCATCATGCCAGGTGACACTTCACATATTGATCTTTATTTGGGTGCTGGTCCAGAACAACAGAAATATTCTTTTTCTTCATGTCTTGTGAAAAAACAAAAACAAAGCATTTCAGATTACATGTCATTTATTTGAGCCACATAAACTTTGTCGACAGGAATGCTGTGCTGGCACTTAGCACCATTTTCAGACTCCTAAAAGTTTGACTGTTATAAATAGTAAAGGTTGAAATTCAGTTTAAATTTCCACAGTCCAGGGCTGGTCATTTTTTTATATAACTTAATCTGACTTATGTGTTTTTGTATCAGAACTGAGGTGGTGATTCACATGTATCAGGGAGCTCCTGTGGTCCTAGCCTTGTGATCCAATAACATGAAGTGATAAAATGCCTTTTAACTGGTATAAAAGTAATAACATGTATATAACAAATATATCGAATAGCACTTTGACTACATTGCTGCTTTAACTACTCTGCTTCTCTTTTCCTACCAACCTCTTCACCTCTGCTCCAGGAGTGATCTGGATTTACTTGGCCAAATCAGGGATAGGTTGTCTATTCCAAATATCTTATAAAGTTTACAATTTGGATGTAGGGATGATTTATTTAGATGCAGTGGGTAGATCTTTGTATCTTTGTTGTTTGGAGGACACTTCCCTATTGTGGATGGAATTTCAAAGAAATCACAGGTGTTTACATTTTATTTATGTTTTGATTCTGGGTATTGAACCCAGAGCTTCTCACAGTTAGCACACACTTATTTCATCATTGAGTTTTGCCTCCGACCACAGATTAAAAAAAAAAAAAAAAAAAAAAAAAAGTCTTACTACCTAATTCTGGCTTTAGTTTTTGTGTGCCAAGGAGAAATGCAATGTCTTGGAGAAACTAATGTCTTTTCAATCCTATTAAAACATTTTTAGAACCAGCCACATACGTGTATTTAAGGCATTGCCAAGAAAGACTAGCAAAGCTTTAGATACCATATGGCTATCCACGTACTAAATTTATTTTGTGTATACTCTGTGTACATATATTGCTCAGTATACTGAGCTAGTTTGTTTGCTTTAAATGTCGTTCTTCTGGCTGTGAATATAACCTCTCTCGATCTTTTAACTGGTTATTTTGGGGCTTTTTGGTCATCTCCTTATTTCTATCAGAAATAGCAATTTTTTGAAGAAAATGAAAGAAAGAGAATGGCAATTGTTGAGTTTAGCAAAAATGGCCATCACTAGATAATTACAAGTCTTACATGAGTCAAAACACTCAAGTGAAGGAAGAGTGAATAAGCTTTGAGGAAATGAGGACATAATATCAGCATGTTATAGTATTGATTTATTTATCTTCTAAGAATAAATGTGTTTTTCCTGTTCAAATTCTATTAAATGGTTTGCCCTAAATACTGCTTTCTATAACTCAGCATGATGCTGGGTTTTTACTGAACACTGATATAAACTTGTATCTTTCAAAGATAAATATTTTCAAGGCTACTGTAGAGTCCTGTGTGAGGAACGTTAATGTAATCTTACCAAGATCAAATTCCAGAATTTTGTCATTGCCTTTCAAATTTAAAGACTTATGAAGGAAAAATACAAAGTCATTTCTAAAACAAAAACAAAACAAAACTTAATTTTTTGCTAATAACCATATTAGCAGACAACTAGGCCTTCCATAATTCTCATGAAGGATCTTTATCAAGATTAGGTATTTTCACTGTCTCTTCTATCATATTGCCATAACTGGATCATGTTACAAGAAAATCCATCATTGAGGTCATTGTATGTGTGATTCTGTGGAACCTACTGTCTGGGCAGATGCCAGTTGCCATTATTGAAAAATGGGACCAGGAAGGTGGGAGTCAAAATTTTGGCAAAGAAAAAAATTTTTTTTAAAAAAAGAGAGAGGGAGAAAGAGAGATAAGTTTTTTTAATATTTATTTTTTAGTTTTCGGTGGACACAACATCTTTATTTTATTTTTATGCAGTGCTAAGGATTGAATCCAGCGACCTGCGCATGCCAGGCAAGCACACTACTGCTTGAGCCACATCCCCGGCCCCGAAAAATATTTTTTAAAAAGCATTGAATTATAATTAATTTTAAAAATCCATTCTCAAACCTTGGCAATTTGAGATGAGCTATAAAGAAAAAAGAAAGTCATGACTTCTGCTAAGTTTGTTGTAAACACAGGTCTCAGGTACTTATGTTGGCTGCTAGGCCAGTAGGAATCAATTGTCCTAAGACACACATCTAAAGTTAGAGCCAGGACTGATCTCTCCTTTGTAACATTTCTACTTTTATTATTTCCTTTTCATCTGTGAAATCTTACCAGTTGATATTGCATGGCTATCCTCATTTTTTCCTTAAACAGACTCCAGCTACATTAAAGAGTTTGTACATGGAGACTTTGGGAGAACCAGGCCAAACATTGGCTCTCTGATGAATGTGACTGCTGACATTCTTGAGCTGGATGTGGAGGTAAACCGTTTTATTGTGGAACATTTGCATACATGCAAATTGAATTCAGCCAAAGTTATGCCTTTTGGCATTAAACCAAATAGCACTTCTCACCTTCATAATTATTTGAAAGTGGCAAAACCTCACAGTAGAGAAGGGACTATCTTCTGAATTTTTATAAATATGAGGCTGATATATAGTTAATTTACTAACTGTGCTTTACATTTGGCATGAGATTAAACTCTTAAACGAGAGAATAAAATTATAAGTGACCCTCAAATGTCCTTAGGGACTCAGGGTTTATTTCCTATACCAGTTTCATTTATAAAGACTTTAAGGCAGAGTGTTTGGAAACTATATTTAGGACAGGGATAGAAAATGGGATGAGCCAATGGTTACTAACAAAAATAATTCTCTAAGGGATTCCTGTGATATGGTTCAAAAGTGGTTCTATAAGGGACACCTATGAGGTAATTCTCTACTCTTATAGTAATTGAAACAAGGTTAAATTCTAAAATAATTACAAGAATGGATTTTTCATGAAATTCTTCACAAACGTTTTCTTTTTCATTTGAGCATCAATAGAACTTGAGCCACAAGTTGTGCTCCTTGATGAGAATTTAATTAGGATTAGTGTCCCTCTTTACCTCCCACCATACCCCATATACCCCACCCCCCAAATCCTAGGAAGTGGTTAGAATTTTGCATTTGAGAATAAAATCAAAGTTATTTTTTAAAAAAAGTGGGTATATTGCCTGGCATGGTAATCAAATGATCATTATTACCTTACAGCAATCCTCTCAAGTGCTCTCAGATTAAATTCTATAGATCTCCTACACACCAGCCAGAGACACCCTTCAAGATTGCAGGGAGCCTCTTTAAAGGGGCTGTCATTTTAAGAAAGACAACATTTGTTAAAGAAAATTCCAACTGTTCTTAGAACAGCTGAAGAGTGTCAAGAGCCATAGCTCCAGGTTTCTTAGCCCTGAGTGCCTATTGGAATCACCCATGAAGCTTTTTCAACACTACAGCATTCCTACCCTTCTCTGCCCTCAACACACACAATTGTGATCAGTGATCTTTAATTTTCAGTTTGAAAAACTATGGCTATATTCTGAAGCACTATCAAAATGTCTTTTTGAGATTTGGAAAAACACAATAGTTATTTGGGCTTTTCTAATAATTTTTTAGAATCTGGAATATGAAGTGACTCAAAAATTAATGAAAAAATTTTCAGTAAATGATTTCAGACTTTAAGCTTTGTCAATAAAGAAACATGGTTATAATGGATTTTTAAAAAGCCTTTTTAAAAAATAGGTCCTCTAGGGTAATTAAGATGTATTTTGTACTTCTGGAATGTGATTGTTTATGTGGAGACAAAATATTTTGCTTACCATAATGCCAGAGTTGGTGTTCTAGAAGAGCAAAGTGAAGGCAAGTTGATAGAGATGAATTGGATTTTGAAAGAAATAAGTTCTGGTGAAGTAAAACAAAAAGATCCTTAATTTTTTCCTAGTTCCAGGTGATCTTTCCTATTTATTTACTTCACATCTAGTTGCTAAATTACAAACAAGGCTATAAGTTTATAGACAAGTACTTGAGTGCAGTACAGTGACCTAAGTAGTGATTGCCAGCAAATATGATGGTAGTCCCATAGATTGTATCACTTAGTGACATCATAGCTGTATTAGTCTGAGTAAATATACTCTATGATATTTGCATGATGACAAAATCACCTAATGATGCATTTCTTATTTAGAATGTGGCCCCACAGTTCAGCTACACGTAATTCTATTAAATGTAAGATGGCAGAATGAATATGATCAGAAGAATAAAAGTTGCTGAGACTTTTTGAGGGAAAACTAGTGTAACCACCTGGATTTGAATTTGTTTGCTACTTTACTCATAAACTTTTTAAAAAATATTTGTTTTTTAGTTGTAGTTGGGCACAATATGTTTATTTTATTTATTTACTTTTATGTGGTGCTGAGGATCAAACCCAGGGCCTTGCATGTGCTAGGCGAGTGCTCTATCGCTGAGCCACAACCCCAGCCCACTCATAAACATTTTTAAATTTAATTTTTTTGTCTTATGCATCAAAAGGTACAATTATAAACCAGCCAAGTAACCAAATACTGCTATTCAGTTAATTCAGAAACAGACTTTGGACCTAAGAATCCCCAGAGTAGACTTTGGTATTCAATTGCTCTTTTCCTTCAAATGTTATTTCTTCTATATTATATTAAAACTATTACTGGCAAATGCTTATCAGAAAAGTAGTATCTGTAGTAATAACTTGTTTTCTCCCTTTTAGTCTGTAGACGTTGACTGGCCACCTGCTCTGGATGACTAGCTTTCGGATTTGGAGATAAAGAGTAGGGTTTTCTTGGCATGATGTGGACATCCATGCAACATACCCTGTAAAATGGCTGTTTACTCACCATAACGGTGTCTTGGAAACCATTTGGATCATGTTGATCTATTTTTAAATTTGTTATAACATCTCAGGATCTGTGTGTATATTTTGTGTTCAGTTGTTCTAAGAATGTCTTATGACTTTTCTCATTCCCTCTCTCACTCTCCCCAGTGAAACTATGAACAGTGAAACCATTCTTCTTCCTAATTCTTTCATTCAGAGAGGCGCACAAACAGGAAAAACTGTTAATTCAAGAAGCTGTAATTTCTTTCAGCAAGATTTCTTCTGCAGGAGACATGTCACCTTTAAAATCATGTTCTAAATTTTTAAATTATCTGAACAAAAGTTCTACTGGATTTATGCAGCATAGTATCCTATAATATTCTAAGATATCAATGCAAATATGACATCATTAATATTTTTCCTGGGAGGCCTCAAGCAAGCTATTATCAATGGAAGTACTTTTGGGTGTAATTTGTGACAAATCATAATGACCTCAAATTACTATTTTGACAATCTAAAATTGTTAGTGCATGTCCCCTGTGGAAGGAAAGTGAAACTTTAGGAATTGAGGCACACCATGGTAAGAGATTTTCACAGACCTTTTAAATAAAGAGAAACAAGTGCCTTTAATAACTTCAATCCCAGGGTTAACAATTTGAAAAATTGAGATTGCTAAAAGTAAACTGATACTATTTCACAGTTCTTCAATATATTATCCAATTTCAAACATTTTAATAAGGTAGATAGGATATCGCCTCTAATTTTTTAATTATGGAAACCAAAGAATAAAAGTTAAATAAATGACTTACCTAAAATTTTTACTTTGATATCCCACACTAGAACTGAAGTATCTTAGTCCCTAGGGTCTTTCATAATTAAACCCTGTTAATCTATCACCTATTTTATGAAGGAGACATCTGAGAGTACCAAATAAATTCATGTAACCATAAGAACTGACTTTTGGAATTTAGATACCAAATCAAGAAACTTACCAAAAAATGGCCCAAATATATATCATATAGTCCCATATAATCATCCTAAAGAAAATGGATGGCTCATTAATAGTTTCAGAAAGGAAGCTCATTAAAATTTCAGATTTAAGTGTAATTTCCATCACCTGATTTAACGATTTGAGCTTTAAGGACTTGGACAGTATGACTGTTTCTTATCTCTATACTAAACATAGTTCATAGATAACAAGATTCAGTTTAGATATCAGGAAAATGGTTTTGACATGAAAAAGTAAGACTACCACTTTGAAACCATGTATTTACTCATATGTGAATAGTAGCAAGTAATTGTTTCACTATTCTCAATGCCAAAAAATGAGAAAAGGATCACAGAAATAAACTTTGATAAAAAAAAGCATTTGTGTGGATGTTTCTCAGTTTCTGGGGAAATTTGGCTTCAAAAAGATTTAAATTTAGGGAAAAGTCTTTTGCTAGTTACTTTTGGTTCAGTTTTGAATCCAGTGGATTGGCAATTTGGAAGAATCAAGAGCCTTCTTAACGAATTTAAATTAGAAGGTTTCCGTTTCTTAAATTTGCAAAATTTCAAGCAGAATAAACATTAGCTGTAAATACTTACTCCATGTGTTCATATAATTTTGAGTCAAGTTGTTAAAAATTAATGTAGGTCTGTTAAGGCAGAACTGGGTACATGAAGTAATGAGAATATTATAGTTTCCATCTTGGCCTATATAAAATATTTTAAAATTAGTTATTTCATTCTTTAAATTTTATTTAAATTAGAAATCTTTTAAATAACATTTAAAGGGGGCTTTGTTCTTCTTGATATCTCTTTCCCATATATAGTATGTGATTTGTTTTAGGAAAACCATCAACTTTTGATACCTGGAAGAGTCAAGAAAAAATAGAATTCGTAAAATGAAAAATTTTCAAGTAAGATAACTGGTTACATTTGCAAGTTAAGTGAAGTAAATTCAGAAACTAAATTTCCACTTCATAAAAGAAAAAATTTTACCTTAGCAGATCTTTTCTTTTGTTGCTTTATTCTTTGATTTTTAAGTACACACGTGAGATTTAATGTCTGAATTTTTTAAAATGGTGCTACCCATTTTATTATGAAACTTACAGGAAAGTAGAAGAACAGAACAAAGGGCCCTCTTTCCTGAATCATTAAACCAGTTACACCTCTCAAACTCAAATATATTGATATATAATTCCTAGAAAGACATACTTAACCACAATACAAATACCCAAATCAGGAAGTTAACACTGCTGATTGCTATTGTCTAATCCAAAGACCCCATTCAAGTGCCACTATTTGTCACACCAGTATTTAAATTTTTTTTTAATTAATTTATTTTAATTAGGTATATGACAGCAGATTGCATTTTGATTCATTGTACACAGTTGCAGCACAACTTTTCATTTCTCTGGTTATAAATGATGTAGCATCACACCATATGTGCAGTAATAAATATACCTAGGGTAGTGATGTGCAGTAATAAGTATACCTAGGGTAGTGATGTCCATCTCATTCCACCATCTTTTCTGCTCCCATGCCCCCTCTTCCCATGCCCTCCCCGAACCCCTCCTGTTGTGGATCACCATCCACTTATCAGAACATTTGGCCTTTGGTTTTTTGGGATTGGCTTATACTTACTTAGCATGATATTCTCAAACTCCATCCATTTACCTGCAAATGCCATGATTTTATTCTTTTAATGCTGAGTAATATTCCATTACGTATATATATACCACAGTTTCTTTATCCATTCATCTATTGAAGGGCATCTAGGTTGGTTCCACAGTGTAGCTATTGTGAATTGAGCTGCTATAAATGTTGACTGCGTTACTATCACACTGGTATTTTTCAAGTGATCATACTGTCTCTTAATGTCTTACCAATCTGAAAGTTCCTTGACATTCATTATTTCAACAGTTTTGAAGACTTCAGGCCAGTTATTTTGTGGACTGTTTTATTTTGAATTTACCTCTTAAGATTCACATTATGTTTTTTGATAAGAAATCACAGAAGAGATATATTGTTCTTATATTATCTAAGGTGTCAAACAGTTTTTATATATCCAGTTACTGATGGCTGGGCTTTGATCAATTGATTATGGTATTGTTCACCAAACTTTCACTTTTATAGTAACTTTTTTTCCCTTTGTAATTAAGTATCTTATAAAGAGATCATCAAATTTTCACTCATTAGTTTTAGCATCCATTGAAGATTTTCAATTGAATCAATAATTACCACACTGATTGCCAAATACTGATTTTCAAATTCCATCATTACTTGTACTATACATTTATTGGTTGGCATTCCCTTTCAATTTATTTCTCACTGTGGGAACTTGTGGCTACCTTTTTTCTTTTTCTTTTTTTTTAAATGCTGGTGATTGAACTCAGAGCCTCACACATGCTAAGCAGGCACTCAGATATACACTACCATGTTCATTGCAGCATTTACAACAGCCAGTAAAAGGAATCCAGTATACCTCAATGAATAAAGAAAATGTGATACATCTACACAATGGAAGAGCATTCATCCACAGAAAAGGTAGAAATCCTATCATTCACAACAACATGGATGAACCTGGAGGACACTTAGATTAGATGGAATATGTCAGGCACAGAAAAGGAAATAACACATGATCTCACTCACATGTGGGGTCTGAAAAAGGTAAAACTCAGGATGGAAGTGGTTACTTGGGCTTACGAGCAGCGGGGTTTGGAGAGAAATTGGTAAAAGGATAAAAATTTCATGTCAATGTTTTTAAAAAAGTTTTTAAAAGGCTGTCCCAGAGACTTTGATTGAGACCCAGTTCCTCCCCTACCTCCTCCTCTTATTTTCCCTCCTTTCTGGCCCCCACTCGTGAGAACAGAGAATGCAGTCATCTGCAAGCCAGGAAGACAGGTCTCTTAGTATTCTACCAAATTCTAATTTCAAAGAATAGTTACAAATGGAATAATATCTAGCTAGAGCATTTCATAAAAATGCCAAAAGTTTCCAAGCAACCAGATTACCTTTGCCTGTACGGAAAATGCTATAAATACTAAGAAAATATGATATTTTTAAAGTCAAATGACAAAATTTTAGCAAGGGTTTTAGAATTTTTTCCATTTTATTATGAAGAAAAAAAAATCAGTGTATACAAAGTTATTACAAAGGTAAACATTCTGTACAATCAAAAGCATTTTAACAATTGAAAACAATTGCATCAATAGCATATTCAAAGGAACTCGATTAAATATGAGTGTAAGAGAGAAAAGAAATATGTGCTTTTGTGATTGGGTAAATGGTAATGCCATTAAGAAAAGCAGAGAATGCAAGAGGAGACACCAGTTTATAAGGGCATTCAGGCAGTTATCGAAAGCTGAAGCTGTGGGCACTAAGACTACACAGAGGAAAAACCAGCACCATCTAAGACTAGGGATGGGGCTCTAAGGAAAAAACAGACCTCAGAGAGAAATCCTGTCTACCACAGAAATGCCAAAGGAGTATCCATAGCAGGAATGGTCAATAGGTAAGTTGTAAAAAAGGATATGCAGAGTAATGACTGCTAAAAAGACATTAGATTTGACAAGGGGGTTAGTCTCTGGTCACATTTCCCAGAATATCACAGAAAATAGTAGGAGCTAAAGACAGATTGATACACAAGGAAAGACTGAAGTGAGGAAATGGAAAGGCAAACAGTTTTGAAATCAAGAGGGAAGGAATATCGGGGTGGTAGGAAAGGTTTTTGCTATTTTGTTTTTTGGGGTTTTTATTTTTAGGCTGGAGAAGACACCTGCCATGTTTATACAAAGAAAAGAACTAAATGGTGATGTGAGGATACAGGAAATGGGATGGGAAGTAGAGAGGAAGAAGGATCCAGTGTAACAAATGGAGATTAGATAAGAAGAGTACCTTCTCCACAAAACTAAGGTCAAAGTACAAACACATTTAGTAGAAGAAACTTATAGCCAAATGCATTTTAAATTACAAATTCTATGATCAGTAAAAAGCACTTGAAAAATGAAAAATTGGAATACTCTAAACATAGATGTGGCAGGCAGTAAGTACCCTAATTCAGTTTTTAATGGAAAAAGCTGCAAAACAACTCAATGCTTTTTTGGTTAAAACTCACTGAGCTAACAGTCAAGTATTTAAAATGATCAGTGCTAATTAATACACTAAAATACTGTACATTAAGATACTGTATTTTTTTTTTTAAAAAATCACCACTTAACAATCACCATCTGGAGATACCCTGGGTTCGTATTCTGAACAGAAAAGAAATTTTACTTTCTACTATTATGTGCTTATGATTTTTGAATTTATATCATATGACAAATATTTTCTTTTAAAATCAAAACTTGAGAAATATTAATTGTATTTATGGGTTTATAATCTTTTTATTTTGCTTTCTGGACTATTCTGACCCTAATCTCACCTTGCTCTTCTGGCAATTTTCCAGTAATAGTCAACTGAGAATTTTATTTATATGTCATTCACACATACCCCATTTTGATGGAATTAATTTATGTTAAATTTAAGGTTTGGTTGTACTTTGTACAAGTGAAATGATACACACTTTCCAGATGGGAATATGTTCAATATTTAGGGTAGGTCCTAGCTATAAGATAAACTAGATCTTTAATACATTAATTACTTAGCATCATGGTAATTCCATCACAATTGAGATTAATGGCCAAATTCTGTCACCATTTTGCCATTGGGATTATTTTGCTTTTAAGCAATTTGGAATATCATTATTAACACTGGACTTCAGTGATTCTAATAAAAACCCAATGTAACATCAAACAATATGTAAAAACTATAAAAATCTAGTAAAATTAAAAGCTATTTCAAAAAACAAAAGTTCTAAGAATACACTAAATGTTCAATAAATATTACTGAGTGCTTAATGTGAGGCAGACTGTTCTACAAACTGGAGATTCAACAGTAAACAAAATACAAAAATTTCTCTCCTCCTGGAGCTTACGTACTAGTAAAGAAAACAAATAGTAAACAAATGCTCAGTAGTTAGACAGTGACAGTGAGAGAACATTTAAGGCAGAGTAATACCAAGTACAAAGTATATCAGGCAGGAATGTACCTGGTACTCTGAGGAGGAGAATTAAGGTCAGAGTGCCTGGAGCTGCATGAAGAGGGGGAAATGGTAATACATGGGTTAGGAAAGGGTGCACAGGTCTGCTAATTTTAAGCACTAGGACCCCTTCTCTTGAGATGGGGAACCACTGGATGGTTTTGAGCAGACAAATATGATTTGACTTGTTTTAAAAATAATTACTCTGACTACTTTATGGACAACAGGCTACTGGGGAACAAGGATGTAAGGAAAGTTTGGGAGGCTACAGCTTTAATCCAGGCAAGCAATGAGGACAGCTAGAAATAGGGTGCTAACAGTAGAAGATAAGGATGATTCCAAGGTTTTGGCCTGAGCAACCAGAAGCATGGCATTGCCATTTACTGAGTTGGGGAAGACTGAAGGAGAAGCAAGTCTGGGAGGGAAAATCAAGAACTCAGGTTTGGATATGTTGAGTTTGAGTTTTAATTAATTTATAGATAAAGCTGTTAAACAGGCAGTTATTGAGATCACATGGAATAAAGATACCTAAGGAAAAAAGCAAGGTCCAAGGAAACTTCTTCCTCTTGAAAGTATGGGTGTAGAACTAAAATTGAAAGTCACTTTAAAGATATGGATGTAAATCTTATAAAAGGTAGAAAACCTCCCATACCTTGAAAGCTTACTTCAACTGGCTTCTCCAATTTAACATTTTAAAGAAGTTTTGCTGTACATATAAATTTAAGAAACTTCAAGAAGTTTCAGAAAACCCCATAGGGGTCACTTTGGCCCATGGGCATCAAAAATAATCAAGAATATATTTTTCCAATGACATAGTCATTACAGGTTTTACCTTATATTTGCTTGAAAGCAAATATTAGTTAATTCTTTTAAGAATACATTAATAATGTCATAAAAGAAATATAAACTTAAAAAAAATCATATGCAAAGGAGTCACTCAATTGTTCATTTTGCATTGTGCCAATGCTTGAATACTGACTACTTTGAACAAAATTATGATTGTTCGGATTAGTACCATTTGATGGTCCTGATTCATTTATCAGGTTGTTATCTGCACAACTGAAGTCGGATCGCTCAAATGCATTTGATTGTGAAACAAAAACAGTACTAGAACTGGTGCCTGCTGACATACTGGAAGAAGATATCTGATGGAGCTGTCTCAAGTCTCTTGGATCTAACACTGAATTACATGAGGGGTTTTCAAGATTCATGCTCACAAGTCTTGGATTATCAGTCTCCCCCATGCTATCACTGCTGGTTGTCATCATATTCACAGGGCAATTTGGCAGCATGTTGGCATCAGAAATACCATATAAGTCAGCTGGTGATATGGATGATGTTTCCATTCTGCCTATGTCATCAGTACTGTTATAAATGCAAGCATTAGAAGCATTTAAATCACCAACAGACATGTCCAGGAATGATGATACACCTTGAGAATTAGCAGAAAGTGTCCCTGTTGAAAAACTACTCAGTGGATTTGTATTGACTGAACGTGAGGTAGGATGGGCCATTGATGACCAACTTGAAGGAGGCTGAGGCACCATTGAAGGTATGGCTGAAGCATGATGTGACAATCCACTGGAGATGGATACAGATGAGGAATAGTAGGATTCTCCTTGACTAGAAACTCCTGAAGATCTGGACATTTCTGACAAAACTGTACCATGAGAAAACAAGTTTGATTCTGTGGGGGGAAAATGTATTTAACAAAATTAAAATGAACAAAGTTATAAAAATCATTATTGCAAAATTAAAATATAAAAAACACATTCTTAAAGAGAAATTTCAAGAGAACTGATTTAACATTTTAAATAAAATGTTTTTCAAAGCACTAAAATTATTATACAAGTCCAAAACTGAATTCTATAACATGTAACTTTAATAAATGGATTTAAGATGAATTTTAAAGTTATTTTGGGATATATAATTCCAGTCCAGTTTTTGAGGCCTTATACATATATTTTTTTAAAATGAAAGATAAATATTGGAATTTCAATTAATAGGAATTAAACAGCCAAATCATTTCATTCTCTCACTTTTAGGAGAAAATGGAGGGACAGAGAAAGCATTCATTAGGGATGGTTGAAAACTATATATAACTTGTAAGATACATTAAGGTATGACCCTAAAGTATTACAAAATCCCCAGTCCAGAAAAACATTCTATATTTACTTATGTATTATATAAATGCTGTATATGCTAAACCAGGAAAGGTACTAATATAAGTATACTATGTATACAACCAGAAATATGAAAAATTGAGCTCTGTATATGTAATAAGAATTGTGATACATTCCGCTGTTATATATAAATAAAAATAAATAAATTTTTTTAAAAAACATGTAAGAGAAGGAGCTGGGGTTGTGGCTCAGCAGTAGAGTGCTCACCTAGCACGTGCAAGGCACTGGGTTTGACCCTCAGCACCATATAAAAATAAATAAATAAAATAAAGGTATTGTGTCCAACTACAACTAAAAAATATTAAAAAAAAAGATAAGAGAAATTCTAATTAACCATTGGCTGAATTATATAAACAAAGGAGTTGTCAATTTTTTTTTCTCTAAAGGGCCAGATAGCATTTTATTTTATGCTTTGTGAGCTACATAACCTCTGCTAAAAATCATCCAATTTCTGTTGTAGTTTTAAAAAAAAAATAGAAAAGGCAACTGCGGCTGGAGATGTTATCTCAGTGATAGATCACTTGCCTGGCATACGTGAGGCCCTGGGTTGATGTTTAGTACTGGCAGGGTGGAGAAGGGGAGGTAGTCAGAGATGATAAGTCATCAACTGAGCATGGCTGTGTTCCAATAAAACTTTACTTATAAGAAAGGTGACTAGCCAGACCTAAACCATTTCTTCCATGACATACTATAATTAGGAAAATTACTACTGTATGAAAAAAATATAGTTTTTCAAACATAATCAGTTTCCAACACAATCTACAGAAGCAGAACTAAATTATCCAATGTTGAAATATTGAAAAAATTTATAGGAGAGGAAAATATCAAAGAAAGGCTTATTCTTAAAAATGGAATTCTACTACATTGTGCAAGGAATACTCCACAGGGGATAAAATACCTTTTTTGATGAATCTTCCTTCTTCGATTGACCCTACCGGACCAGATCTTGGTCTCTCAGGAAAATTGACTGCTATGATAAAGTTTTTCCATTATTAAATGCAATTTGAAAAATAATTTATCAATTAAAACTTGAAAAACTGAATAAAGCAAATAACAAGATCTATTTAAATATGAATCATACAAAATATTCTTACCACAATCCTGCCACAGTTTCTGGAACAGTAGAGTTGTTTTTTGTTTCTTTGATTTATTGCCATAAGTGTCTGATTAAAAAGAAACCAGGAAAGTAGGTGAATCATCAAGGAATTATATTTCCTCTCCATTAATAAACAAAAAGCTTTAAATAGACGTACATTTTACATCTGTTACATCTAGATATGCATCTGGATTTAATAAGTACATTATAATACCTGTAAGTCAATATCAACTAAGAAAGGTCTGATAAGGATCAAAATAGCAAACACTTTCTAAGTGGTGAATTTTCCATCTATAAAAAGGGCATACTAAGAACAAAAATAGATACTCCGAAATCAAAAATAATTTGTTTGTATTGGTACTGGGGCTTCAACCCATGGGCTCTTTACCACTGAGCTACATCCCAAGTCGTTTTTTTTTTTGTTTGTATGTGTGTACAGGGGATTGAAATCAGGGGCACTTTACCACTGAGCCATATCACCAGCAATTTTTCTTATATCTTGAGACAAGGTCTTACTAAGTTAGTTAAATTGTTGAGGCTGGGTTCAAACTTGCCTCAGCCTCCCTAGTCACTGGGATTGTAGGTGGGGACCACCATGCCTGGCTAAAACAGAAATGTTGATAAATAGTTTAGATGATCTGAAATTATTTCAGATTAATCAAACCTTCCTAAGAAAGAGATGCAAAGAGCATAAGGAAAAAATGAAAACGTTCAGAAAACATATATAAATTATGAATATATATAATGACTAAATGTATCTTACCATGTAGCAGGATCAACATTAAGACATATATAAAGCAATACCACACTAAAGTATCATACCTTTTTCATCTGGCAGATACCTAAAATCCATAGATTCACTAACTTCCTGGTCAGAGGGTCTCCGCAGCTGCATTTTTACTGTTACTGGTTCTGTTATAGCTTTACAATATGGAGGAGTCTTAAAAACAATGGCTACTTGACGGTGTACATCAGCTTGTGAAAAGTTACCCTTTGCTTCCCAATCATTCAACACAAAACGAACTTCTATGTCATCTAGTTAATAAGAAACCAAATGAATAACAACAATGAAAAAACAAAGTAAATTTTATCTATTAATTTAAAATACATTCTGAATTCAATGAAACAAAATAAGTAAATACCTTTCTGAACTTTGTCACAAAGTAGAAATATTTCATCTCCTCCCCTGACACTTCCACAGTTCTTGTTTACACGACAAATCCTTAATTCTGCAGTATTTGGGGCACCTAAATATAAAGGATTTGTTAAAAATGTGTCTCTACCTTAATAATACATATTATTCTGTTGTAAGGGGAAGGATTTGAGGGAAATCATTTACAAAATAGATAAAAGTTTGTATGTACAGATAGATGACAATAAATACATTAACCATTCACACCTGTCCCTTTCTTTTTAGCTGCTTTAAATAATCTGGTTTAGAGCCAAATGACTCATTTCTAGGCAATGACATTTTCTCTAAATAAATCTCCCTGCTTCTAAATTCTGATTCTTCCAATACATCCTATATACTGTTACCAGATTAATTTTTTTTTTTTCTGGTACTGGGCATTGAACCCATAGGTGCTTTACCACTGAGCTATATCCCTAGTCCCCTTATTTTTTATCTTGAGATAGAGTCTTGCTAAATGCTGAGAGTCTTGTTAAGTTGCTAAGATTATAGGTGTGTGCTACTGTGCCAGCTAGATTAATCTTAAATCTCATCCATGTCCCTAGGGCAATACAATTTCCATGTTTTCTTTTATGTGGACAATATGACTAAATAGTTCTTGCTGACATTCACTGCTCTGTATGAGAAGGATACTATTATCTACGTTTACAGACCTAGGTTTCACTAACCTACATGCAAAACAGGTAATAATAAGACACCATTGGTAAATAAATATTTTTTGTGTGTGTGCAGCTAAAATATTTGACGGCAGCATCACAGTCTTTTCAAATGATAAATTTCTGTATCTTTTGTTCTAGCATCTGTCAACATTCTACTTCTGAAAATTTACGCCAGGGTAATATTTATACAAGATATTCACATATAAGGATACTTATCACAATTAAATTTGTTAGGGCAAAAGGAAAACTATGAGAAGAAAAGAAAAACCCAAATGTCCCATGAAAGGATAATGATTTAATAAAATTACAATATAGGGGGCTAGGGCTGTAGCTCAGTGGTAGAGCACACGCCTCGCACACGTGAGGCACTGGGTTCGATCCTCAGCACCACATAAAAATAATAAAGATAAAAAAATTACAATATAGGCATGTCATGAAATATGCAGTTATTGAAAGAATAATGTAACCAAGAGGAAAAGAGGTTCAAGATAAATTACTAAGAAAGAAATTAAGTTTTTAGAAAGATCAATGATGATATTTTTAAACTATATTGTGTATATGACTGATGATGATTTATTTGTTGGTATAAAGAAAAAACTGGTAAAATATGTGTTTGAGGACAGTGATTATCTTTGGAGGATAAAATTGCAGGAGATTTACTCTTTGTGTATTTTATAGTATTTGAATTTTTCTTATGATGAATATACTGTTTTCCCAAATACCAAAAATTTTTTAATAATTAAACTAGTCTTTAAAAACAAAAACAAGCTAAGACTACAAATACAAGAAAATAAAACACTTACGGTTGTCATAAATTGGGTTAGAGACAACAGGAGGAAGAGCAGTTGTCAAATTACCAAGTTCATCAGGGAGGAAAACTTGAAAACACAGTCTCACCACATTGAGATCACAATCTTCAATATCAAGCAGCTGTTGCTCAGGGACTGAACAAGTATAAACATATTTTTTTAAATGCAGAATAGTCACACAGAGCTAAAATCCTGTTATGTCTTACTCCCCATCCATTATATCCAATAAGCTTGAATAGCAACCAAATCTGTACTAACAAAAACAGAATGTACCCAGTCTCAAGAATGCCTTTTATTATTATCAAGTAGTCACTATCTAACAGTATTTGATAAATTATAGCCTTTTTAGGAAGTAACTATTCTAGTAAGCTGACACTTAGAATAGAACCCCAAAATGAAATTAATAACAATTTGATTTTTTTTTAAATGGATGCAAGTTATACATAACAGAGAAGAGATATTCATTCAACAAATCTGTATTTGGTTTAGTTTAAGTTATCTTCTAAATCTTCCAGGAATTATTTCCCCAGTTTTAAAGAGACAAAATTATTTGTCCAAAGTTTTACAGCTAGGAAGTGGTAGGGTGGGAATCTGAACCCAGGCCATTGACTCCAGAGCTTATGCTTTTAAAAATTAAACTCTACTAGAAAATTTTACTTACAGTCCACATGAAAATGACATACACACAGGAATATCTATTAAAATTGAGATCTATATTTTAGGGATGAAGTGCCAAGAAGATACCAAATGATATAAGATAGCTAGTTTCTATAAGATACTTCATTTGTAAATTAAGTCTGCTCAAAAACAAAAAACCCTACAGTAGGAAAATTTTGCAGTTCTGAAAAAAATAAAAACTCATGACAAAATAAAATGTAAGAACAGTTTTTTATATTGATGTTTGAAAAGAAACCCAGTTCCAACAAAAAAATATTACTGCATTTTCAAAGAATACCATAAGCTATAACAAATCATAAACAATTCAGCTATATTTTTAAATGCTTAAATATATATATTAAATTTTACAAATTTTATATTTTAACACTTACTGTATAAAATATTAAAATGTAAAATACTAAGTTTGAAAAAACAGTTAACCAAATTCCTTAGTACTATAGGCAATAACTAATAAAAACAGTTTCATACTGTTTTAATTTATTTGTACTCACACAGTCTCAGTAATTATCACAACATTTAAATTTGTCTCAATATCATCATTCTCAAGCTAGAGTCTTATAGACTCTAACATTTGAGTCTATAAGAACACAGTTGTATAATAAAAAGTCAAAATGCTGTGATGCCAACACATGTATTATAGTAGCACACTCTTCTGGCATCTTAATTAAGGAGGCAATAAGAGGTTTCCTTCTTCAAAACCAAGTTTTATAGCATTGTAAATTTGGAGTTCAAGATCTCACTGTCTCTCAGTTTCAAAGATGAGTAATCAGTACACACACACACACACACACACACACACACATGCACACGCATATAATGAGTAGCTAGGTGCTCCTGACAAGTTTAAAAACAAATCTATACGAATGGATAAATAAACTATGGCATAACCATGCAATGCAGTAATGCTCAGCAATAAAAAGGAACCAACTATGGATTTTTGCCCCAACTTGGATATATTTCAAAAACACCATGCTGAGCAAGAAGAACCAGACAAGAAAGAGCAATAGACTACATGGTTCAATTTGCATGAAACTGTAGAAACACTTAATATATGGTGACAGAGAAGATTAGTAGGTGACTGGGCCAGAGTCTGGGGAGGGAACTGAGAAAGGGATGAAGGATACTTTGGGGGATAATGGAGAGGTTATATTTTGAGGTTACATGGGAGAATATATTTAAGTGGATTTCATATCTCAATAAAGTTTACTTAAAATATTTTAAAATGCTATATAAAAAATAAACTAGTTAACAAAACAAAAACATTAAAAACATTTAATCATGTACTGGGTTCTATCAAAGGGAAGAAATTATACCTATATCTCAAAAGATCACTATACCATTTTGCTTTGAATTTTACTCCATATGTGCAAATACAGTTATTTCATCAAAATTACTTCATTTCTGCACAAAATGGTTAAAAACAACTGACAGGAATCATGAGTAATACTTGTTTTTACCCAACATAGGATTTGGTGTGAGGATGAAGACCCAGCTCAGAGCTTCCTTCTATAAAGTCTAAACTCATTCTAACTCAGTAGAACACTTGACCTCTAGCTTTTTTATGCAGTTAAAGTTTTCTTACATAATAATCATTTATGCATGCCTCTTTTATCCTATTCGACAAAGTTCCAAGGAGTCAGAATAGGTGTCTGAAACATCCTTAAATTTTCACTTGACAGAGAACAGAGAACATAGTAGTTTACATTCAATGGATATTATACATTTCCTCAATGAATGACTGAAAATTTGTTGAATAATCATTTAGATATCTTATAACCTGCTTAAGAAAACTATTAAGTAAAAGCTAACAAAAGAGATTCTATTTTTGGTAATGGCAGATGACATGTAAGTGGAATCAACTCTACTGTAAGAACTAAAAAAGGTGGATAACATATGAAACAAAATTCTTCTAAAGGTATCAGAGAGCTAACAAGATCACGAAGAGTCAGAGGGTCAAGATATGGGAAGGTGCAGCTCAGTGGTAAAACACTTGCCTAGCATGTTTCAGGGTTGGCATTCTGGAAAAAAAAAAAGGCAAGAGAAGAGAAGAGATTGTTTGGAATTATACGCAATCTGCTGAGCAAATTATATAATTAACAGACTACTACCCTGGGCCTAAAAGAACTGAGAAGGCTTTCAGGGGATTTCAGGTAAGAAAAACAACTTGAAGATATTGGGTAGACAGGTATAAACAAGTCCTGTTTACTCATTCATTTATTCATTTAGTCTTTCAAGAAGTTTTAATTAAGTCACTATATGTGCCAGACACTAGAACAGGTGGCAGAAATATACAGAAGACAGTCCCCATCCTCCAGAGTTTCACCATTTAGTGAAGGAGAAACATGTAAACAAAGTTATAGCAAACCATATTAGAAATATATACAAGAACTTTGGAGCCAGGCACAGTGGCACACTCCTGTAATCCCAGAGGCTCAGGAGGTTGCAGCAGGAGGATAGCAAGTTAGTTCAAAGCCATCCTCAGCAAATCAGTGAGGCACTTAGCAACCAAGTGAGACCCTGTCTCTAATAAAATATTTTAAAAGGGCTGGGATGTAGCTCAGTGGATAAGCACCCCTGGGTTCAACCCCCAGTTCAAAAAAAAGAAAAAAAAAACCTGTTGCAAACAGGGGGAATATTTAGCTCTGTCAGTGAAGGTAGGAAAGGCTTAAAGAGGGTGATCTTTACACTTAAATATGAAGGCTGACCAGGAAGAATTCATCAAGCAAATCAGGCAATCCATGCAAGGGAACTGCACATGTAACAGTTTAGTTGCAAGAAAGAATATGGCTCTCCCAATAGTACAAACAGGTCAGAATGGGAAAGCCAAAGTGCAAATGTGTACAATCAGTGGTAGGGAAAGGAAGGGCAGGAAGTGGAGAGAGGGGGAAAGGTGGAATGGAAAAAAGAACTGGATCATGAAGGGCTTCAAATGTCATGCTTGAGAAGCTGAATTCAGCAAGCAGATTAGTTTCTCAAAATGTGGTTATGGTTTACCTATACCAGAATCACTTAGGAGCAGAAATTGTCTAATTGTAGTTTGGGACCTACTGAAATTAATTTAGTAAATTGAAAAGGCAGTTTCTGGAAGGCAGGCAAGCATAGATAGGAATGAAGGAAGGGAGGGAGGGAAAGAGGAAGGGAGCATTAATGCTTATATTAAGGGTACTGTAGTAAAGGTGTGGAGTTTGCATATGTATTGTATTGCATATGTTTGTATATGTATTAAGAGTGGAGAAATAAAATCTCTTTCTTACTGTGAATCACAAAGAAGAAACATTGAACTAAATGTGCTTTTAAAATGCAGATTCCCAGGACCCACACCAGACCCAGAAATGTGGTCTTGAATCTACATTTTATTTTTTTAAATTTATTTATTTATTCTAATTTGTTATACCTGACAGCAGAATGCATTTCAATTCATAGTATACATTTACAGCACAATTTTTCATGTCTCTGGGTGTACACAAAGTCATACCATTTGTGTCTTCATACATGTACCTAGGGTAATGATGTACATCTCATTCCACCATCTTTCCTACCCCCATGCCACCTCCTTTCTGCTCCCTCCCCTTTGCCCTGCTCCCTCTCCTTTGCCCTATCTATAAAATTCCTCCATTCCTCCTATGTCCCCGCTACTCCCATTATGGATCAGCATCTACATATTAAGAAAATATTTGGCCTTTGGTTTTTTGGAACTAGCTTACTTCACTTAGCATGATATTCTCCAGCTCCATCCATTTACCTGCAAATGCCATGATTTTATTCTCTTTTAATGCTGAGTAATATTCCATTGTGTACATATACCACAGTTTCTTTATCCATTCATCTACTGAAGGGCATCTAGGTTGGTTCCACATTGTGGAATTGTGCTGCTATTGTGAATTGTGCTGCTATAAACATTGATGTGGCTGTGTCACTGTAGTATGCTGTTTTTAAGTCCTTTGTGTATAACCTGAGGAGTGGGATAGCTGGGTCAAACGATAATTCCATGGAATCTGTATTTTAAACAAGTACTATGGGATTCCTGTGAATATTCAAGTTGAAAACCACTGCAGAAGTGGCACTGAAGGATAATTAGCAGAGTTCTGAAATGATCATAGTGATTTTAGGAGGATCTTTTGGATATTTAGAAGGATATCAAGGATAAAGGTGAGAATGCAAGTTCAGAGGCTGTCAACAACTGTCAAGATTAAAAACGATGTAAGCTTACATTCCTACAATGTCAGTGAAAAGACTGGAGACACTGGACTGAGATGGTCAAAGTGAGTAAACTAAACAAATAGTTTTTCTGGAATTGTTAAGGGTTCATGAAGAGAAGCAGTTGACGAGAAGATAGAAAAGATGTCAGAGCTTTATGTAGGTGACTTTGAATGTAGGGGCCATTTAATTTTTAAACTATATAAGAAGCCATTATAAGATTTATATCATAGTATTATTCTAAAGACCTGTGATTTGATTGGGGGAAAACTGCTACAACTCAAATTATGAAATGATGAGTTCCTAAACAAGGGAAGTGGCAAAAGGGCTGGAGGAAAGAATGGATGTTAAAACAAAAAGTAGGGGCTGGGGATGTGGCTCAAGTGGTAGCGCGCTCGCCTGGCATGCGTGCGGCCCGGGTTCGATCCTCAGCACCACATACAAACAAAGATGTTGTGTGCGCTGAAAACTAAATAAATAAATATTAAAAAATTCTCAAAAAAAACCCAAAAAGTAGCTGGGGCTATAGCTTAGAAGTAGAGCACTTACACATCATGTGCAATGCCCTGGGTTAGATCCCTAACACCACATAAACAAAAAACAATCTAAACAACAGAAAACATAAATACTGTGAAAAACCAACTGCAGGATTATTCCTTTTCCAAATCTATACAGACTTGTTAAGACCATAAATCTTGGAGCCAGGCTACCTGTATTCAAATTTTGCCTTTACCACTCATTATTTATATGACCTGGAGCAAATTAGTTTTTCTATGCATCCATTTTCTTGTTTACGCAAAGGAGAGATGAATAACACCTACCTCATAGGTTGTCACAAGAATTAGATGAAGTAAAATATGTAAAGCACTTACTATATAACAGGAATTACTTTAAGCATTATCAAATGTTATTAATATAATGCCTGGTTCTGGACTGCCAACAAACAAACGAAAACCTTCCACAGAAGTAGCAGATAAATTTCTGCATGATTTGGGACAGTTATATGACCAAAGCTTTAGTTTTCTCTTCTATAAAGCAGTGTTGCTTTAATGATTCAATAAAACAGTGTATATAAAGCTCATGACATTTATTCCCTGACATACAAAAAGGCCTTAATACATGACAGCTATTAACAATCTCCCTGTTTTATACTGCATCTAGACTTGAATGGCTTCTTTAATTTAAAAATCTGTTTTTTTAATTTGACATTGAATTGAAGCTTTAAGTGAGCATACTCTTGACCCATAAATTTACCAGTTCTGAAAATTTTATGCTAAGGAAATATTCACACAAGAGCTCAAAGTGCCTATTTGATGGAGTTTTTAAGTGAAATGAAAATAACCTAGAAGTTCATTACAATTACTAGGTAAACAAATTACAGTCCATTCAAACAAAAGAATAATCTGTTAAAAAAATAGATCTGTGAGTACTGACAAGATGTTTAAGATATAATCTTGTGTAGAAAAAACTAAAGCAGTAGAATATGAAGCACAGAATGCTCCCTTTACATAAAAATGTACATCTGTTTATGCCTATACATGTATAAAGGAAATTCTAAAAAAATATACATCAAACTTAATAGTAGCCTTCTCTGGCAAGTGAGACAAAAGGAGAGGTAGGGGGATTTTGCTTTCACCTTTATACTAAATAGTATGAAAATTTAAGACCTAGAAAAAAAGAAATGCACAGGCTGGGCTGTGGCTCTGTGGTAGAGTGCTTGCCTATCATGTGCGAGGCATTGAGTTTGATCCCTGGCACCACATAAAAATAAATAAATAAAATAAAGGTATTGTGTCCATGTACAACTAAAAAAAATTATTAAAAACAAACAAACAACAACAAAAGAGATGCACATCCTATGGTCCATAAAAATAGTACTTGTCTGTAAGCACATTCCTTAAATTATCATTATTTCCTTTAAATTATTTTTACACATTCAGGAAAAACAAACCAACAATATAGGTATGTCTTAAATATGACAAATATATCTATTTATCATAAATTGTATAGTCATTCAATTCCTGACATGCCTATTTAAGTAGCTGCAGAACATGTTAGAAGGAAGAATACCATTATTATAGAAACCAATATCTAGTTCAAAACCCATTTACCCATTCAAACAATATAGAGTGCTAAAAAGTACCAGGAGCCACAACAGGATAATGCTATAAGTATAAATGCTTAATAAATGCTATCTAAATAAAATCCACTGAATAGTAAATATGTAGGAATATAAACAAATATACTATGAAAATGTCTTGTGGGATTTTCCCATTTATGTACTACTACTTCTACGCTTGGGAATAAGTTTTGCTGTGGTCTATGCCTATGAATTAAATGCACTCCAATATCTTATAACCCTACTATACCTCCAATACCTTACCTACTAACATTCACAATGTATATTGTCTGTTGGAAGAGTGGCATAAGGAAGGCCACATTTAAAGAGAACCAGTTTTCTTACAGAAAAAAAATGACATTCTCCACTGATAATTGAAATGATACTTACCATTGAAAGGATTGATTCCTGAACTTATTCTTGAAATAATGGCTTCCTTTACTTCTTTTTTCTTAACACATCGGATACCCAAATTTTGAAAACTAGAAGGAAAAGAATAAACTTTCAAAACTGCATTCTAGTTAACAAAAAGAAAAACTATAGAAACCAAGCATATATCCCACACTGAGGAGACATTATTTTGTTGGCTGGAGATATTAAAGCATGAATTGTATTTCTAATTGCTATGATAAAAATGGGAGAATTTTTTTTTAAAAGAGAGAGAGAGAGAGAGAATTTTTAATATTTATTTTTTAGTTATCGGCGGACACAATATCTTTGTTTTGTATGTGGTGCTGAGGATCGAACCCGGGCCGCACGCATGCCAGGTGAGCGCGCTACCGCTTGAGCCACATCCCCAGCCGCAAAATGGGAGAATTTTGAAAAGTAGTGTTATATTTCTAAAAGAACTGCTACAAGAAAAATGTACATATAGAATTATAGCATTTTTATATATTATAATTATACCTTACCAATATGCCTATGTCAAATTTACCAAAGTAGACACAGATTCACGGGAAAGGAACACCAAAAAGCAAAACGTTGCTTCCCAAATTCATGATCAAATCAGTAAAATCTATGTATTTGATCATATAAAGGAAAAGGTATAAAAAGATGCCCACAGCCTCAAGTCCACAGGTGTGTTTGTTTTAGATGTAGGAATGTTGTCTACATTTAAAATCAAGTAACTGCATATAAACACTGGAAATTCTGAATTCTCTTTAATATTTTAGAGGTTTGGTAATGTAAGTTGGCACAGAAACAACTGGTAGGGACTGAGCATCGGGGATCTCATTTATGCAGAACTCTACAGTTTGCTGTAATGCCTACTAGTCCTCTTAAACACAATCAGCTCCATTCATTTATGCTGGCTGCGCAGCCCTGCCAGTAGAATATGTTTTGTGCCATATTACATGATGTTACTGTAAGAAAGTATTGAAAAAAAAAGTATTAAAATGTATTTTATTAGAAAGAGGTTTAATACTAACAACAATATTTAACAAAAGTTTCAAAATGTCATTTATGGAAAACTTCTCAATAGCTACAAATATTACTAATTTGCATATGTGTAGTACAGATGATGGTCAGGGGAACTCCCCCACCACCACTCAGTCATACTTGTTCCCGCATGGAAAAACCATGACATCATTAAAGTTGGGTGGGTGTGAATAAGGAAGCAAAACTCAATTATAGTAACATTACCATTTATTCAAACTTCATATGACACTTGCACCCAGAGGCTGCCTTGTTTTTCTCTCTTCCCATGCTTCTACTGTCTCATGTTCATGCTCTGCACATTCAGACTTCTGATTGTTAAAATCTAAAATATCTTTGGCATTTTCTTCCTCTACTTCCAATACTAAAACATAAGTCATGAATTCTTAATCCTTTCTTAAAATTCTATAATTACAATCCTCTTCCTCAAAAGTAGTCCTTTACTGTGAAATATTTTTTGTTTGATTCTTAATTTTTCATTGACAAAAGATCTTTAAGAATTCTTCATACTTTTATACTACATGATTTTGTTTCATCTGAATAATGATTGCTAAGAATATTAGAAGTAATGAAGATTTCTGAAATTCTGAAGGTTGAGGGTGTAGCTCAGTGGTAGAGCACTTTCTACATTTGTATAAGGCCCTGAGTCTGATCCCCAGCATGGCAAAAGAATAAGAAAAGGAAATTTCTGATACGCAGAAACCAAAGATTACAAAGATTATATGAATCAATTATTAATTTGTTCATTCACATTCAACAAGTTTAGAAGTTCCCAGTATCCCTTAAAAATTCTGGAAAGTGGGGCTGGGGATGTGGCTCAAGCGGTAGCACACTCGCCTGGCATGCGTGCGGCCCGGGTTCAATCCTCAGCACCACATACAAACAAAGATGCTGTGTCCGCTGAGAACTAAAAAATAAATATTAAAAAAAAAATTCTGGAAAGTAATGAGGACATACAATCCTCCCTTCATGGAGTTTATAGTTGCATACAAGAGTTGGCAAACTATAACTCCTGGCCATATCCAGCATACTGCCTGGTTTTGTAAATTAAGTTTATAACAGAACAGTCATACTCATGAATTTCAAGCTGCAACATTAGAGTTCAGTAATTGCAACACAGACCCTAGAGCCTGCGAAGCCTAAAATCTTTACTATCTAGCTTTTTACAGAAAAAGTCTGCTAACCTCTACTCTGGATAATCTGACAGCTATTAAATAATCACACAAAAAATGCTAAACTGAAATCATGACAAGTTTTATGAAGGAGATATACATGATTTATGGAAGTCTATGATGGGAGAGTCAATCAATTCAGGGTGGACACAGGCCCCCTGTAAGGAAGTGATTCTTAATATGAATAGAACTGAACTAAGGGAAGAGGAGAGGAAAGAGACTTCCATGCAATGGCCCCTACAGAAGAACCTTGTGAGCAGAGGAAACCAAAGGAAGGCTTTTGTGATGAAAGCATAGAGATAAGGCAGAGGAAGCACAATCCAACAGAAGGCTAGAACAAGTGGACTATGGGGGCTGGTAGGCCACAGAAGGAATGCTGTCCCTATTCCAAGAGCCACAGAAAGCCATTAAAATGTCTTAAGCAGGGAAATATTCAATTTGTATTTTAAAAGATATCTCTGGCTAAAGTGAAGGAAAACTAAGGGGAGGAGATCAAAAAAAGAGGTGATGCAAGACCACCAGGGTTAAGGCTATCCCAGCAACTCCAATTTAAAACTGTTGAGGTAGTTCATGGGAGTTCACTAGATGACATGGATAGATTCAAGAGCTATTTAGGAGGTATCTTAATGATTCACACACATGTGAGGGGTCTATGGGGGTTTTATAGAAACCACTAAGACAAGGTACAGTGAAAGGAGAACAATTTTGAGGGAAAAGAGCTGTGATCATGGTTAAGATCATGGTTTGGGGCATATTCTATTGGGGTCTTTTTGAGACATTTAAAAGAACATTAAGAGCAATCAGACTAAATACCATTCCCTAGTGAAAAGAACTAGGGATCCTTGGGGAAAAAAATGATGATATAAGGTCTGAATCAAGAAAAGTTCAAGTCTTGAACACATTGTTGTATCAGAAAGTGAAGAAGTGTATGAAGAAACATGGGGACATACTGAAAGGATATAGGAGACAGTATGAAGGGGTTTGTTTTGATCAAATCTGGGTCAATTTGAAAATCAAAATAATGCCACTAATGGTCTATAATACCATGATTATAAGAATATAAGTTGACAGTGACACTTTTTAAATGGGGAAGGGAAAGAAGGAAAGATCCTTTCTTTACAATAGAATGCCAATTAATATCACCAAGAATAAAAAAAAAAAAAAACTGAGATCACATGTGTCCTGAAGGGATCACCTCTGTAGATTTCTTGCCCAGTGTTTCATGAAACATGTTATGTTTCTCATGTTAAATATAATCCTAAATATAATGAGTAATCCTTAATGGGATCCTGGATTGGGGATAAAGACTGGGCAACCACAAAGGTCATTCCTGGGATAAATGAAGTAATCCAAAAATTTAACTGCTACAATAAGAAAGAAGGAATGGCCAGAAAAGAAGGAAGTAAAATACGTTTGTTCTCATAGAAATTAAGAAAAGAGAATATTTCCAGACAGGAGAGGTCAGGTTCAAAATGCTATTGGGAAAGTCAAATAATACAGACAGGATTTATTTCTTGCAAAGTGTATATTACCAAACATTTTGTGTTTTGTGTTGTTATTATTAATAAGAGGACGCATTTTCTGAATAGTTATTATCAATATATAAGGAACCTACTAATATTTCTGTTGTCATTAGTTTCATTTTTCCCCAAGAGCAATACATGCTCATTACAAAAATGAACAAGTTAGGAAAAAAGAAACCTTACAATTCTACCCATCCAAAAACAACCACTATTAATACCTTAGCATATATACTACCATGTATATGTATAAACTTTTTAAACAAAAATAAGATTATTCTTCATATCTTGTTTTAAAACATATTTTGTTTTAAAATCTATTTTATTTATCTAGCTTATTATGAATCTATTTATCAACAGACATATTTGCAATGTTAGTTTTATGACTATTCAGAAGTACACTAAGTGAATGTACCACTTTATTTAACTTGTATCCTTTCTTGTTTATAACTTTTTGCCATTACAAAGTTACAGTAAACATCATTAAATGTCTGAAAATGCTTAATAGTTTCCTGGGAATAAATTCCTAGAAGTAGAATTGCTGGCTCAAGGTGCTTTCATAGTTTTTAGGCTTTTGCTATGTAGCTGTTAAATTGCCTATCAGAAAGCTTTCATTAACTTATACTAACTAAACAGGCTCATCTTCTGGTAGCCTCACCAACATATGAACTTATTACATAATTTTTTATCTTAGAACTTTTGTTGTATGTTAATTTTGTAATCTGCCACTTTCTTAATAAATTCTAGTTTTCCAACTTATTTTCTCATATGTGGCATTTTTTAAAAAGTTAACTACATGAAAAAAATAGAATAAAAATTTCAGGAATTGTTCAAACTGAGAAAGAAAATCACAACATAAAGTTTGTTTTTACCTTTACTGATTAAAAGAAATATTCATGCTAACCATCATGTGATGTGCTGTGTGTTCTAATGAAGAATGAAAATGTAGTTCTAACGCAAATAGTAAGAAAATTTAAGTATACACATAGTAAATAGTATGACAAATTAATTTATTCTGCTAAAAAGTAACAGATGATCATGGACAGGAAATAGAACATCCTATACTTGTCCTATTCCTAAAGATGTTTTTGACTATTGGCTGGGGCTGTAGCTCAGTGGCAGAGCGCTTGCCTAGCATGCATAGGTACTAGGTTTGATCCTGCCACTCTGTTTTAAAATAAAGGCATTCTGTCCATCTACAATTACAAAAATATATATATTAAAAAAAGATGTTTGTGACTATGTACTTACAATAAAGGCCTGCGTTCTTGACCAAATTCTGCTTCATAGTAGCCATCTCTGCAGTCTTTTCCAACTAAATCATGAGGATGAGGTTTATAGGGGTCATTTTTTGTAACTAATGTAATTCTTACTTTTCCTTTTCCACAGTAGTTCATAATCTGGAAAAAGGGGGGATTAAATATATGATTCATAAATATATTTTATTAAGAACTGATTTACTAAATTGACAGTTCAATTTATATAATGTAATTAGCTCTAAATAAATAAAGTTCAACTGACCAGAAACTGCAGTAGAGATGAAACTTTCCAGAGAATACCAGTAGGAAAGAACTTACCTCTCAGCTGCTGGACATATTATTTTCTGCCCTAATTTCAACTGATCATATCATCTGATTATTTATTTCCTTTTAAAACAAGTAATATTATACTTTAATTTTTATCACAGAACATGAGGAAGAACTAAAATGTTAGAACACTAAATCCTTTATCTTAGATGTACTATCATACCATAAATATCCCTTGAAAATATATAGTTAAACCACACTCAAAATAATAGCACATAAATATAATTTTACTTAACATGCAAGATTTAATTTCACAAAGTAACCGTTAATCAGTTATATTAAATAATATAAACAAATCTCAAGTGTTCCCGGTGTAATAAGCAGTAAATCTAGCTGAGTTTAATAAGATGAAATTTCACTCAAATCTGGAACATTCCCAGTACAAAGGAGAGTAAGCATGGGAGAGGCAGGAGGACACTATGAGATGGAGAGAAACTAATGTTTACTTTCAAAGCTAGCAAATTTGCACGAATGAGCAGGGAATAAAAAAAACAGCATACCCTAAGGGAGCAAGGTAGTTAAGTAGACTGAGTGGCGTACCAGGTAGAGGGCACTAAAATCCATAAATTTGAATTTAAGCATAATTTAAACAGTAACCATGAAGTATATGTTGCCTTTCTGGGTGGAAGAGAGGTAACCACTCAAGACTCTAGGACAGGCTTACAGTAGATAGAACTCAAGCTGGAAAGTGTTTAGGACCTTCTGGAATGGTAAGGATACAGATCATAGAAATATTTTAGAGACATAATGAATAAATAGAATTATGGAGAAGAAAAAATTGACTCAAAGGATTGGAAAATAGAATTTTTAAAATTTACTTATTGTGTTTTACCTTTAACATTTAAATAAAAGGATTTGGATAAACCAAATCCATACTGTACCAAAAATGTAACTTAAAATTAGAAAGTTGCTACAGTTAGATGGGAGCAAGAAGCTCTGGTATAATATTGCACAGTATAGTGATTAGATATAACAATAACGTACTGTATATTTTAAAAGCTAGAAAAGGGCTAGGGATACAGCTCAGCAGTTAGTAGAGTGCTTGCCTTGCATGCACAAGGCCCTGAGTTCAATCATCAGCACATACCAAGAAAAAAAAAAGCTAGAAGAAAGGAGTTTGAATATTTCACCATATAGACATGGTAAATGTTTGAGGAGATAAGTATGTTTAACATTATTTAAAGTTTACATAGTGCATACATATATCAAACATTACATGGTATGCCATTCATATATATAATTTTTATGTTTTTATGTATTAGTTAAATAAATGAAAATAGGAATTTGGAATTCAATACAAAATGTTGGCATTACCTTATTCTATAATTTAACAATTCTCTTTAAATTCAACAGAATAAACTCTGTAAGTAGTGCAGTTATAAAATAGTGAATTAAGCTGGGCACAGTGGTGCATGACTGATAGATATCCTAGCAGCTCAGGAGGCTGAGGCAGAAGAATTGTGAATTCAAAGCCAGACTCAGCAAAAGCTAGGTGCTAAGCTACGCAGTGAAACCTTGTCTCGAAATAGAATACAAAATAGGGCTGGGGATGTGGCTCAGTGGTTGAGTGCCCCTGAATTCAATCCTTGGTACTCCCCTCCCCAAAAATAGTGAATAAAGATCTGTTGATAAAAAAATTAAATACCACTTTTCAAAATTCACTTTGCTATTAGGTTTTTGTTGTTTTGTTTTTTGAGATGAGATCCTGCTAATTTGCTCAGACTGGTCTTGAACTTCAGGATTCAAGTGATCCTCCTGTCTCAGTATCCCAAGTAGCTGAGACTACAGCATGTGCTACTATGCCCAGCTTGCTATTAAGCTTTTAAATTGGCATTTAAAGGATAAAAAATTAAAAGGTAAGTGAAATATAATTTACAAAAATAAACTGGTACAGGGGCTGGGGTTGTGGCTCAGTGGTAGATCGCTTGCCTAGCACATGTGAGGCACTGAGTTCGATCCTCGACACCACATAAAAATAAAGCCGAGTTGAAATAGAAGTCTCTAAAACAGATGGAAGATGTCTTGAAAGCATTGCAAACGAAGCTGTGGGAGGTTGAATCAAAATTGTCCTTTATGAGCTGCAAAAGCTGAACTCTGTTCCATGTCTCTTATTCTTTCCCACCCATTATGTCTTAAATGAGAAGAACTGTAGAATCATTTCTGCAGCTGTATTTTATGGCAAAGAGGTGATTGTTTCCCACATTAGAATTTTTAAGCTATTTTATGATACTTGCTGGAATTGGAATTTAGGAATTTGTATTCTGATAAGAAACTGGGCTGAGTTTTCAGAATTATTTTCTTCTCTGTGTCAAATTCATTATTATTGATTTTCTATTTTTTAAAGAACAATTTTGCTTTTAATACTTTGGACAGTATTAAATAGTGAATGGTAAAAATCTTTTAAAAAATTAAATAAATAAATAAATTTGTACATCTGCAACTAAAAAATAAAAATAAAAATAAACTGGTATATTTATCAAAGTCATTGTCAATTAAAAACTACTTTTGAAACTTATGCTAATATGAAAAAAGCCATATTTAAAAAATTATACTATTTTAAATGATGCCAATGATGCAGAGTATCAGATGCAGGCAATAAAGATCAGGAAAAAGGAAAAAAAATGTTCTTCTCCTTTTTGATAAGCCCTAGACTAAGACATTACAGGAAGAATTCTGATTCAGTTCTCAAAATCATGTTTCATCTACACAGTAATTTTCCTCACCTCTACATGAACATAATACTTTTTCCTCATTAAATGCTTTGTGTTCCATGAAAGGGATCATAATCCAAAAGCTGCCAATGTACACTTAGCACTGTGATTCTCTCTACATAGATTAATATACAAATAATTGTAATTATCTACATCAGGGAAGACTGTATTATAATTAAGAAATGTCCCTACCATCTAATACAGATTAATTTAAAAGAAAAAAGGGAATAAAGGAAAAAGACTATGGAGGTAATTAAAGAAAATGAGCCTTTAATATAACTGCAATAGCTAAAATATCAATCAACCAAAAGTGAGAAAGACACAGAAGGATCTATTACCTGGATAGATGGGAATGTTCGATTGTTCTCAGTGCTGTGCTCTCCTGGAATGCTGCCAGCTGATCGCCCTTCACATTTGTACCTAAAACGCATTCCCCTCTGCCTGGGTTGTTCAATTATCTTTATATATGGGTTATACCCACCTGAAAATTTTAAAAGGGAAGGGTTCAGTGAGATTACAATAGGATTATAATAGATTTCTAACAATTTGGGTTTTTTTTTTTTAAACAACAGACTAAAACAAAGATTCTCCCTCCCAACATTAACAAGGTTGTAATGTAATTATCCAAGATTGATTGGAAGACACATCTTTTGTTTCCATTCAAATTGAGCTCATAGTATTAACACAAGTCATACAAATCAACTGATTAATTAATGCTTTATTGCTTAATATCCACAGCTAATGCCAATATCAAGTTCTAAAATAACCACTTCATAAATATTCACTTTCCACATGAGATCAAGCAGAAGGGTTTTCCCCAAGATGCCCCAGAATGATGAAGAAGATAGTATTCAGCAGTATATTATACTTCCCAAGAGAGTAAACATATTTAACTGTTTGGCTTAACACTGGATTCTTGGAAGTAGGTGAAAAGATCATTCCCTAAAAATGAAAATAATTTAAACTCTTGCAAAAGCATAAGTTTGGAATGTTATACAATGTTGTACACTGTATACTAAAACAAGCCCCAGAAGAGACTTCAGGCTCAAAAGAATTTTCAAGCAGTCCCATCTAAACTTTTTCTACAATATAAGACACTATGGAGGAAAAGAAACCGCAACTATTTGTTTTATATAGCAATATTATTCAAAATTGCACCTGTAGGATAAGCTACTGATACACATACTTAATGAATGACTCTTAAAATAATTATGCTGAGTGAACAAAGCCAGACCAAAAGAGCACATATGGTATAAGTCCATTTAGAGCTAACTCTAGACTAAGTAAACTATAATAAAAGAAAGCAGATCACTAGTTGCCTAAAATGGGGTAAAGTTTAGGGGATGATGGACATGTTAAATATTTTGATTGTGGTGATGATTTAGGTTGTACACATAGGTCAAAACTTACCAAATTGTGTACTTTAAGAATGTGTAATTTGTTATACATTAATTATACATTAATAAGGCTGTTTAAAACATATGTATCTTTACCCTTTCTTATTATCCAAATCATGGAACTAAAAGTTCAATAAAGATACTCAACTGTGCTTAAAAGGGGTAATTAACAATGTGTTTTCATTTCAGGGGTATGAAGACATCTTCCATTCAAAAAAGAAAAAAAAAAAAAAAAGACTCTCCCCCAATCCATTTAGTGATTTCTAAATTCCCACAATTATAAATCCATTTCACTGAGGTTATCCTGTTAGAATGCAAGCAATTTCAGAAAAGATAAAACAGTGGGTCTTATTAGGTAAGTATAAGAAGAGGCCTTTTGAATCCCACCTAGCCATTTTTTAACAGTAAGTCCCTGGAAATGTTATTAAAATCTCTTAGTCTCCTCTGTAAAATGGGAATGATAATCATAACAGCACTACCTCATAGTGTTGTTGTGAGGATCAGACATCACATGTGTTAAAATTCTTACTGTTATACATATGACATGGTGAAAAGAGGAGGAAAGAAAAAAGGTAAGCATTCTAGGGAGAAGGAAGAAGAGTGTGTCCATAGAAGAGTTTATTTAGGTATCACCAATGGAAGTAGAGTATGTTTCTACTCTTAGAGAACCAAAACTCAGAGCACACAAAGTAATACAGATTTCATTTTATGTGTTATGAGGAATCATTATTTTTATGCAGTGAAATCATAAGATCAGAATAGCATTCGAGAATAAGAACTCTGGTGGTACTGGACATATTGAAAGTAAAAAGCAAGGTGATCAATTTAGAGTCCATTAAAATACAACAGTTCCCCCCTTATCCATGGGGGATATGTTCCAAGACCCCCCAGTGGGTTCCTGAAACTTTATAGACAGTGCTGAACTTTATATATACCATGTTTGTCCTATACATACATACCTATATATGCTAAAGTTTAATTTATAAATTAGGCACAATAAGAGATTAACAACAATAAAAAAATAGAACGATATATTCTAACAATAGTTATTGAAAACTTATTACTTATTTCTGGAAATTTTCACTTATTATTTTTGGACTATGGCTGACCACAAGTAACTGAATTATCAACACCAAAACTGTGGATAAGTGGAGACTACTGTCATGTGGGCAATGATGAGCATGTGTCTAAAATAAGGCAGTGATAATAGGAATCCAGGTTCATTTAAAAGATAAAACTGCCAGTATTTGGGGTGCCTAGGCATTAGGCATCAAAAGAAAAATTAAAAGAAGTATTGATGACACCACATTTCTACTTTGGGTCACTGAATAAATTGTTACTGTTATCTTCAATTTTATTCAGCTTAAATCAGACTTCTTGTATTGAAGCTACTACCTATTTGTTTATTCAAAACACAAAGGGCCAGGAAAAACTAACTCAATCAAGTTCATAACTCTTTTTTCAATTTTACTGAAAAACCACAAGGCATGCATACAAATGAGTATTTCACAATTTATGTCGTTGTATATTTCAAAATCACATTACAATTTTGAATATTTCCACAATTTATGTCGTTGTATATTTCAAAATCACATTACAATTTTGAATATTTCCTATCTTTATACATTCTTGTAGGTATATCTAAAAGAAGTACATTTCCCTCTCAATAGTTAAAATCAACAGTATTTTTCAGTGACATCTTAAATAATTTATGTGGTTGAACAAAAGGTCAAATAAATCCCTGCACACTACTTTAAGGTGTCTTGGTGGGAAACTGATACAGAATTACATCATTGATAGTAAACTGTTAGCTTCTTTGGAGGAGGAGGAGTATAAATAAAAATTCTAGGCTCATTGTGAGCAAAGTGAGCAGTGATTTATTGACATTTTAAAAAACTATCTAGTGTGTTAATGAAGTAAGTCTATAGAATTTTTAAAAGTTTTTTTAAATGCTGAAAATGACATAAATATTAGTTATCATATAATATTGTGTACTGAAAAGTTCTTGAAGTTTACTTTTTCTATTACGGAAGTTCTTAATTGGTAAAAAGTTTCACTAACAACCAAGTAACCAAATTTTTTGTAATATTCTATACCTCCCCAGCTGAAAATAATTTCCTCTTCCTGTAAATAAAAATAGTACTTTTGTTTATAATAATTATTCCAAATAACTTTAATTCAGGGAGGATTCATTTTATTTGTTCTTGAAATAAAGCTACCTGCTTTATTTCTTTTAGATACTTGAAGGCAGAAATTACATTATTCATAAGTGCCTTATATACAAATATTAAGTAAATATCTATTGGGTGAATGATTTAAAATCTGAAGATATTTTGTTTGTGCAAGTTACTCAAACATGAAAGGACTATATTAATGATTAATAGATCTTCTTCATTATATTCTGCTATGATGAAAAAAGCAGTGCTTTGTAGGTACTAGAATTGCCATACCTTCCTACTTCCTCACACCCATTCATATGCTGATTTATTTATCTGTGGCTGTGATTTTTAAAACTTCCTAGCTATAAATAATTTATATTATATATCAGTACAATGCAACAGTTATTTCCTTCCTCAGGACGGTTTTGCAAATGCCACTCTTCCCACAGATAAAAAGTGCTGAAATGTAGTCACATATGGAGTAGAAGAAGGTAAAATATAAATCAGGGAATTGTAGGGAAAAATGAGTACTCTTAACTAAGATTACTGAATGTCACTACAGTTTTGAAAAGCACTGAAATGTCTTCAAAATGAGTTCTAAACAATTTGATTACTGTATTTTTCTTTAACCAATACTGCGTAAAACTAGGATTGTCCCTATGTTTTGAACAGTATTGTAAAATGCTAATGCAGACCAGAACATCTGAAATATAGCCCAAATTTTTGCAATGTATATTTATGATTTATTTGCACTAAGGAAAAAAAGAGTGCTATATAAAAATCACACAATAAAGTATTAGTTTTTGATTAAAAAAAGAAATTACATTGAAGTAAAAGATAAAAATAGATTACCAATTGTCAGAAATACACACATTCACTAAAATCTTTTTTTTTTCCCCCAGTGGTGTTGGGGATTGAATCTAGGGCCTTGCACATGCAAGGCAAGAGCTCTACCACCAAGCTACATAACCAGTTCCATATTCATTAAAATCTTATTGCTAGCATTAGGAATCAGTATTAAGTATACAGTGAAAAATAGTAATTACATTTAATATAATTTTAAAGCACTTTGTATATATTTGATCCTAACTTTAATCTTCATAAAGAAAGAACTTATCCCATTTTACGGGTGATAAAACTATAAAATTTAAAATTAAATAAAGTAATGAGAAAAAAAATTATGAATGACATTAGCTACAGTGACAGCTCAGATTCCAGGATACCAAACTTAAGAAACAACAAACATAAAAAGCAGCTAGGGGTAAAATTACAATAACTGATTCAGCACATTTTAAAAAAAAATACCTGCAATCTAAAATAAATATATTCTAGTTTAATAAAATAATTCATCTTGGTATAAGCAAGTAGTTTAATAAAATAATTCATCTTTGTATAAGGAAGTGTAAGAGTCAATAAAATCTTTAGAACAAAGTTTGTACTGGAGATGTACATCAGAAACACCTAAGTAGCTTTTCCAAAACATTGGACATGCCCTGACCCCATCTCAGAGCCCAACAGGAAGTACTCTTCAAGGGTAAAGCTGTTTCTGAAAGAGCCTTTCAAGCCAGTTTAACACATTCCTAATTCAAGAACCACAGCCCTAAAACTTGAAGAAGTAGAAACAATGATGCATATATCTGAAGCAGCAATCCCAAGTTCAGGTCTGCTTCCTGGATAAATAAGGCAGAGCAATTCTGACTAGTTGTAACTCCTTTTTCTCTCCTGATCAAAACAGATTATTCAAAATGTAAGCAAGAGAAAAAGACAAAGGGATAGCCTTCAACTGCTCTAATTTGTTTTAAAAATAAACCATTTACAAAATAAATATTCTAACATACTTCTTGCAGTACAATACACAAATATTTGAAATGCCAATGTGTCAAAACACCACAGTTAAGAAAGCTGACTAGAGTGCCTCTCTCTCTCATAGAGCTCCTAGATGACATTTTGCCTGGGACCCAAAGGAGCAAAAGGGGCTAAGAATACATACTTTTCCAAATATCACCTCTACTCGTGGTGGAAAAAAAGAAAATAGGATCTATTCTTTTTTCCTCCAACAAGATCTATCAAAGTTTACTTCAATACAACAGATTGACTTTGAATTGGCCTTAAGAATCCAGGTAATGGAATTTTCAAATGAGTAGTCAACTGATGTATGCACCACAAGGTAAAAAGGATATTATAGATTTTGGCAATAGAGATTCCACTGCTATAGAGGTGGGAGAAAAACTTTTGACCTACCGGGTGAAAAAGTAGAGAAACGTTTAAAATCTGTCCCAGATTATACAGGTATTTAAATTTAAAAAAAAAAAAAATACATGGCAGGGCCAAATCATCTGTTAAGATTTCTAGACTTAAAAATACAGGAGGGCGAGTTAAATATGAATTTCAAGTAAACAAATAATTTTTTTAGTGTAAATCTATCCTATATAATATTTGGGTCATGTGCCTACAAACGCAATCATGTACAGAGAACACAAATGGGAAGGAGTTGGAACAAAAGAAATTTGAGTGACTTGTTATATTAAAGAACAATAGGACATACCCCTAGATGTTGCTACTTATGATTCATTTCATTCACTCATTCTCCTTATGTTTATTATATATCACTTCAATTTTTATACCACTGTTATCTCTTTTTCATGTGTTACAGTTCTAAAAGAACATTCATGTTTGTGTGCAATCTTTTACTTAAAAAAGTCATTTGCTTTAGCTATCCATCCTAACTTCCAGTTCTATTATTAAAGAGTAAGTTGCCATATACTTACATCCATTTTTTTCTCCTTACTCAAGAGAAAAATAGTTCTCTTGAAATTCATACTACAAAGAGGTGGTTAAGTATTGTGGTTCACAAAAACAGTTTTTTGTGTACTTTCTATTCTGTTACATAGCAGAGTCATACTACAGAAAAATGTGCATAAAAAGAAATTATCTAAATTTTAAGATAACCAAAGAGAGTACTAATTATTAGTAAACATAGTCACGTATACACAAGAACATTTTGCTTTTTTTACTGAAAAGTTTCCAATTTAGACATAAAATACTTACATTAAATAGAATAGAATTATAAATATACAAAGGTAATGTCTACTTAACTATGCAGCTTTGATAGGTTTGGGAACACATTTTTTTCACTTTGCCTATTCTAATTAATTGTGTCAAGAAATTAGAATCAGGAGTATTGTTTAAAGGGGGGAGGCAATGAAAAACAATGACCAAGTTATGAAACCCTAAATAACTAATCTGTCAATTTATATTACAACATTTAGAATCATTATATAAAATACCAGCTACTCATAGCATTTATATAATTTATATAATTTTGATGATGATTATGCTCTTATGTTACTTTTACATTATAGGGATCATCTCTTCAACTACACATACCTATTTACATATAACATCTGGTGAGAAATGAAGAAATAGTCTTAAATGCTTGGTAATCAATAAAAGTACTTTTTGAGGTTTTTAATACTATCTTACTACAAACAGAATCTAAAGTAAATAAAAACTCATTAAACAAATTTTTTCCTGTCACTCTTTCAGCTAAATTAGTTCCAAATCAGAATGGGAATTTATAATTTAATGAATCTTTTTCTCTCTTTAAGGTCTTTACATCTGATTAAAAAAAAGTATAACCTGACTTCTTTAAACATTTTTTTACCTAGTAGTTGCAAATAACTGAATTACAATTTAAATAACTTGTTGTATTTTAAATAGTTCCATTTAATGCAACTTTTTAGAAAAGACCAAAAAAGATAACCACCCTACAACTTCCAAATCTTTGAACTTTCAGTTTCTTTACACTTCCCTTTCAATTTAGAGACTCAGTCCTCATAACAAAAATATACTGTCATTAAACAAGTTTAAGTTGCATCACATTTTAAAATCAGGTAGGTCTTACAATACTCTATGTAGAAACGATTGTGTTTTTTTTTTTTTCTATTTTAGAAAAGTTTTAAGTATTACATATATGAAAGATTAGTCTGGTCAAATAGCCAACAGTGGACCTTTTTTACTTAAAATGCTCACCATTCATTAGTTCTTTCATACAACATCTCTTCCTGATAACCAATAAACTAAACATTTGATGTCATCCTTGTACTTTTAATCTAAACATCTATTGAATTGATATTTTCAAGATTCTCTGAAAGTCTGGGGTCATTTAAGTGAGTAAAGGGAAAGTTGAAATATTTTAAACTACACTTGTCTTCTCACACGAAAACCACAGACAAACTGAAATCAAATGTCATGTGAAACACCCCAATTTCCTTTTCAGCTTACAGCAGTAGCTATGGTATTGTTCTGCTCAACCCTTTAAAGAGGTTCTTTTTGCTTTCTACTTCCTCTTCTCTACCAGACATCAGCTTTCTACCGAGGGTCACTACAGGAGGCAGTAGGAAGCATGCGGGTCAAGAATAAACAAGACCCTTCTTCATTCAGCCTCCTACTACAGCCTTAAGGTGTCATTTTAGGCTTCCGGCTTTTGCTTGCTCTGCACCCGGTGCTGGGGCAGTGCAACTGCAACACCCCCACCCTCACCCCGCCAAAATCCCGGTAATGATCCAACCTAGACTACTTGACTTACCCGCTTTGAGTTACAGGCAGCCCTACATCATGGCTATCTATACAACTCTTCCGCCCTTTCCCTGCAAGCTGTTTCTTAACTTGTTTCCCTGCAAAGCAACAAATCCAACCATTTATAGACGAAAAGAAATATTTACATTAGGGGATTCCGTTGTTTTCATGCCTAGCCATTATTTTAAAGCACAAATAGTTTCAAAATCCTTTCCCCGTTGCTGCTAACAAGAGGGGGACTTGGAACTCGACGTCTCTACTCGGTAAGTTAGAAAAGTCTGCGCTTGAGTTCCCAGTAAAAGTCATCCACTTCGTTTCCACTTAATACCTGTTAAAATAACACTAAGAAACTTACGGCAGCGCCACATTTTACACAACTGTCAGCACAAGAACTTGGAACTTGATGAAATTAATCTAAACAGGGAGAGAGTTCGCCCGAGGTCTGAAGCTTCCTCATTCTCGTCCAAAAATACAAAACCACCATTTCAATACAATTCAACCTTTAAATACAAGAACTCTTCGTCCTCCCTTATTTAATTACTTCCCTAATCCCCAAATCAAGTTGTTGGGAATTTCTAAAGTTCCGGCTATTACAAGAGCATCAGATTACACAGCGCGGCTTTGATTTCGCACGCAAACCTTCAAGCAGGTAACTTTTTCTGACAATTTGCCAGGTGAGGCGATTTCAAAGCCAGAATGTGCCATCAAAACAGATCCCGAATCCCAGGGCAGCACCACCCCGCAGAAGAGCTCCTTCCCCGTCCAGCCGCGATGGGCGCACTCACCGGAGGCCATGGCTCCGCTCTCCGCGCAGTCGGGCCGGCAGCTCCAAACGTCGGGGCCCGAGGCCGTCAGCCAGACAGCCGCCAGTCAAGTCAGGAGGCCGCGGGACCTTTGCCGTCGGGACCCCAGTCCCCCTGACCACCCCCGGGCCTCCTCCTCTTTCCCGCCCTCCCCTTGGCTTGCGGCTCACACCTTCCCACCCCCTGAATTCTCGCGCTCAGGGTCACCACTGTCGCCCGTCCAGCGAGCGGGAGACAGGAGCAGGGGGCGGAGCGGGACGAGAGCCGAGCGCTAGCCCGGCCAAGAAGCTGGCAGCCCGGAGGGAGGGGAATTTCCCGCGGCTGACGTAGCGCTCCCCACCGCCTTTCCCGGGGGCGGGGGGGCGGAGCGTTCTCGAGGCTGGCGCGCGCGCACCCGCACTGAGCAGCCCGCGACCCGCCCCGGCCCCGGCCCCGCCCCCGCGCGCTCCCCGCCCCCGCGCGCGCGCCCCTAGAATTGCTGCGTGATTGGGTCCGGGTGCAGATGCTGCAGCGCGGGGTCTGCGGGAGTGTGGGGACGGTAAAGAGCTCCGGCAGCTCGGAGGTGACGGCTCTGAGCGTGAGAAGGCCGCCGGCTCCCGAGAAATCCCCCTCCTCCGGGTTGTCCTTCGGAGTGTGGTTTAAAGTTCAGGAGCTGGTGGGAGGGTGAGGTGACGTCGAGAGGGTCGGTCGCCCGGGAGCACCTGGAGGCGGGCCGGGCGGCCTCCTGGCTGGGGGGGTGGGGTGTGGAGAACGGCCCGGGGTTTTCGATAGGTAGTTCCCCCTCTTCCCGATTTCGCACATGCAAATCTCCACCCCCGCGCCGGGGCGCGTTGGAGCGCGGGCGTCCCGGCGTGCCCTCGAGGGGAAGTGCGGAAGCGGCCGTCGGCGAGGTTCATTTGTAATTCGTGTATTTGCATAGGGGACCCCCGCAGTCTGATTTTCCTTCTTTATATCTACATTTTGAGGGCTTGGTTAACTACGTATTTTATGTACTAAAACCTTTTAAACTCAAAAGTTCTGCACTGCGAGTTCCTCGTTACGCAGTGAGTGGACACTATATCTTGAGATTTGACAGATACCCATGAGGAAGGGGACGCTGAAACGAGCATTTAGTGCATTAAAGGATCCATTATAACTTTATTTTTTTCATTTGCTAATAAACACCTGTTGCCTTGTCTAGTATGTGTTGATATCTTCATTTTGTAAACGAGTTAATAAGGATTTGGAGAAATTAAGTACTTCAGAACGCTGGTTAAAGGGAAAACGGTTTAAACCCAAAGTTATCTGATTCCAAGTCTCCACGCCTTTTCTATGGTCCCGTGGTGCCAAAAATAACTATTTGGAGAGGAAAGGAATGGGGAATATTAACCTGCTTTATGAGTGGCCCAAACCGGAGGACTCCCTGGAAGAAATCATTAGAAATAAAACCTTGCCATTCCCCAAATAGCTCTCCACAAAAATGTACAATGTACAGAAAAGGTAACAGTTCTATAATTGGGTAATTAAATCATATTGTGGTGCACATCATAGTTGATCCACTAAAGAGATGGCAAAGACCAAAAAAAAAAAAAAAAAAAAAAATAGAAAACCTCAATCCTTAATAATAATCCGTTAAAATAATGTTGATTGTCTTTATCCAAGAGAAATAAAATAGGAAGTTACATCTTGGAGCCAAGAGCCAAGGCTTAAAACTCCTAGAGATTTTTTTAAGGTTTAGACTGGGAAAAAATGTTTATTATTCTATAGCTAATAGCTGGTCATTGCAGTTTATATAGAGAAGAATGGCACATGTTATTTTTCCTTGAGGGCTTATAGTCTTTGATGTGTTTCTTCAACAAATATCTACTTTGCCAGATGCCCTTCTAGGTTGTGGATGTATACATTAGATGAACATGATAAAAAAATGGCCTTCCTGTAGCTGTGTCCTACATGAAAGACATAAAGTATATTAGCAAATAAGACCATTTTAAATACTATTATTAAAATATTTTGTTACTTTATTACTATAAAGAAAATAAGGAGGTGGGGGTAAGAAGTCAAGAAGATAGATGCACTTTAGAGGTGACATTTGAGCTGAGATCCAAGCAGTAAGAAAGAGGCCTCCACAGGAAGATGCAGGCAAAGAACATGCCAATGGAGGGAAACAACAAGCACCACTCTTTCTGAGGGACTGGAAGAAGGCAGTAGGGCTACAGTAGTCTGAATGAAATGGAAAAGGGAAGTAGGGGCCAGATCATGAAGGGCCTTACAAGGCATGGTACACAGGATTGAATTTTATTTCAGTTGCACATTGGAACCCTGTCGGAAATTTTTAAGTGAGTAATTGATGTATGGGTACAATATGTTTATTCTGGCTGATGTGTTAAACTGTTACTATGTGCTCACTAAAGGCAGGAGTAAAGACAGAGCAGCTAGGAAGCTGCTGACAGAGAAGTAAAGGTTTGGACTAATGTTTTCGTGAAGAGATGATAAAAGGGGGTCAGATACAGTGAGATTTTGGTGAGAGAACTTTCAGATGAAATTGAAAAAGATGAGTATAAAACATGACCTTGAATTTGGCAAAATGGAAGTCATTAGTGACCTTGATAAGAACCACATCAGTATAAGGGAGAAGATGAAAGCTGAATTGGAGCAGGTTGAGAGAAAAAAAAATGGATGGAAATGATGAGTATAAACAACTTTTTCAAGAGTGTTAAAGGAAACAAGAAATGGGGCAAAAGCTGGAGGAGGATGTGGATTTGTATTATGCTAAGGGCTGTCACTAAGAACCTCAATCGCAACAGGTTAACATAGATTCACAGTCCAGTGTGAGCTGGATGGTTTTCTTCCAGGAGTGACTCAGGGACCCCAGCATCTTTCAAGCTGCCTTGCAAAGGGAAAGAGTACATCACTAATAAGAGATTTGTATGAACCAGGCCTAAAGGTGGAATACATTCCTCTGAACACAGACTGTTTTTCACAGGACCTCCAAAGGGGGGCTGAGAAATATAATTTGAGAAATGTGATTTAGCTGTGCGACCAAGAAAAAGACAAAAATGGATATCAGTGAACACTAGCAATTTCTTGCGTAAAATTTTTATTTTTAGAGGGGTGATAGTAAGGCATATCTAACATATCTAACTCTGTGGTGAAGGAGAAATTGATAATGGAGAGAAGGGAGTAAGTATACAAATGAAGAAGGGAGAAAGGTAGGACTCCAGAGCAGTGGGGTTGGTCATAGACTGGAATAGGGATATCTCAGTAATAACAAGAAGGAAGGCAGAGTAGATGGAGCAAGCCTGGTGGATTTGATGGTAGAGATGAGGTGATCAGTTGTCATTTTGTAATGCTTTTAGTGAAGTAAAGTCCACCTGAGAGTAGATGATGAAGAGGGAATAGAAGGTTTGAGGAAGAGGAGAAACTGAAGACAAGATCTGAGAGTAGAGAATTTAGAAGGTTTATCCAACTAGACTGATTGCCTATATGAAATTTGTGGCCTACACAAAAATGTTGACTAGTAAACAGTATTTCTGATATGGTTTTAGCCAAAGGATATCAATGGGCCATACTATCCTTAAAAAGAAGATAATCTAATAAAATTTAAGTATGAGAGTGTTCAGGAAAGATTCATAATATCTGTTAAGCCTCCTGGATGAGCCCATCTATTCACATTATTTTATCAGTGATCCCAGGGTCATATTTAGCTTGGATCTTTCACAGGACTTCAGACTTATGTATCTAGTTGTCTGCTAGCCACCTCTAGTGGGACATCCTAAGCATCCCAGACTTAACCTACATAAAAACTTCTCTCCCACATTTAATATTACTCTCAATTTCTCTGTACCACTATATATCCAGACACAGGCTAGAAACTTGAGATCCATCTTTGATTCTCTTTCTCACGGTCCCACAACATCCAATCACCATATCCTGTTGATCTTGCCAATCAAATAAGTACCCATTCTACCTCTGAGCTACACCCCAGCCCTCTTCTTCATTTGACATCCACTGCCCTTGGTTAACTCTTCATTATAATTCATCTAAATTACTGGAATGGGCTCCTAACTATTGTGCCTATCTATAGTTTGTCCCCTTTAAAAACCATTAAGACTTATTGCTTCTAGAGTCATCTTTATGAATGCTTATCAGGCCATACCACTCCTATGCCTTAAAACCATCAGTTGCGCCCAGTTCACTTGCACATGAACTACAAACTACTCCCCAAAATCTGGCCACTACCTTTCCTCAGCCTCCTCTTGCACTCCACACTTTGCACTTTACCCCTTGCTGAACTGCTTCAGAGCTCCTCATATCTATAAAAGCAGGTCTTTTTTTTGTCTCTCTGCCTTTTCCTAGAATGCTCCTTCCCAGAGACATGCCATGCTTGTGTATCAAAAGATTTAATATTATTAAATTGTCAGGTCTTTCCAAACTGATCTGTTGATCTAATGAATTCCAATTGAAATCACAGTGTATTATTGGTGAAATATAAGGGAGTGATTATTAAGTATATATAAAAATGCAAATGTTCTCAAATAGCCCTGGAAATATTGAAGAATAAAGCCAAGAATCTATACTACCAGACATCCAAATATGTTATAAAACTACAGAAATTGAGATTGTGTGGTATTGGTACAAAGTTATACAAATGGAATGATGGGCTGAGTTAGAGATTGCAGAAATAGGCCCACACACATATAGTCACTTGTTTACAACAGTCTCCACTGCAATAAGGGGGCGGGGGAAGAAGATGTCTATTTTAAAGAACTATTTCTGGAAAAAATTTGATATCTATATGGAAAATAATGAAATCTGACCCCAACTTCACACCATATAAACCTAAATGTGAAAGTAAACTAATAAAACTTATAGAAGAAAACATACCTTGGGATAGGCAAAGAGTTCTTGAACATTATGCAAAAAAAAAAAAAAAAAAAAAAGAAAGAAAGAAAAATTGTACTTAATTAGGTAAAAATGCCCCTAAGATAATGAAAAGGCAAGTCACATAGTGGGAGAAAAATACAATACATATATCTGATAAAGAACTCTGTAGCATCCATGTGGTACTCTGCTCAGATGTCTTCTAGAGAGGACCTGCCTCAGCTTTCAAGGCAAAGCCACACAATTCCTTATAGCACATCTGGGACACAAGGACTCACTATCTCCAGCCCGCACAGGACTTCTCTATGTGCGAGGTTTGTGTCAGACCCCACTGGACTGGCTAAGACTGTCTCAGAG